GGGGGGGGGGCTCACCATGAACAGCAATATACACTGTTGATTGTTAATTATAACAGTGAAAATAACAACAGTTACACCCAGAGGTAAAGGTGTTATTGTATCTGCTGTTAGTTTTATCAATAATACTAATGATACTAAAGAGTGTTGTGGTGACAGATCTGGATCTGGATCTGGATCTGGATCTGGATCTAGAGAGAGAGAGAGAGAGAGAGAGAGAGAGAGAGAGAGAGAGAGAGAGAGAGACTGTAGCTCTGCCAACTGTCCTGAATAATCAACATTACAACATTACAGTGTTCATCACCTGATACACACATTCACCTGCTAGAAACACCAGAAATATCTGTGGCAATATAACATTTACAGTGTTTTATCATCATGTCGGGTAGTTACAGTCCAACCATCCCACCTCTCTCCATCTCTCCCCCCAGGCTCCTCCAGCCTCCTCACCCTCCACAGACAGTCTGTCAGCCTGGTGTTGGCCACAGTGCAGCTGTCCACATTCTGGATCTTGTCCAAGGCTTACCAGTTCCTCTCCTCATGGAGCCTCAACAGATTCCTGCTCATCACACAGGGGGACCTCAAGGTAGGTTCCTCACCCAGATCAACCAGAGGACTTTAACAATCACTGGAGGATCCAGACATGACATCACAGGAGTTCATTTGTCCTGACAGAGGCATGAACAGACTTGTGCTGCAGTTTTCACACCTCCCTTCAGATAAAGGATAAAGTTGTTGATGTTATTTGATGTTTTCATTATTATCCTACAAACCTACAGTGTGTTCCTCAGTTGTAGTTTTTAGAACACAGACAACGAGACTCATTTAAAGGTAATTTTATTTTTACTTTAAACTGAAGCACTGTGGCAGGTCAGCTGAAGCAGGGTGGACGCTGAATGTGTGTGGGGGCTGGGGGGGTGTGGCTGGAGCATGAGGGGCAGAGGTGGATTTTGGATGGGGCAGGATTGAATGACGAGGGCTTTCAGGTTGGAGTAGTCAGTGAAGCAGACAGGTGAGGCAGGTGAGACGAACCGGGGCCAGAGAACAGAGACTAGTGGGGGTGTGATTGTGGTGTGACGAGGGGAGCAGAGCTGGGTGAGGCCAGCAGCAGAGGATGGGTGAGTCACAGTAATACGAGTGAGGACTGAACAATGTGGTGGTGACTGGAGTAAACACAGGAGAGTGTTGTCCACATCACCTGATGTTGCCTGGCTTTTCTCTTTATAGCCAGTGATGGTCCTCATCCCCTTCCCCTTGTTGTGCTACAGCTCCCTCTCTGCTTTCTTTTTGTAGTCCTCCTTCGCCGGCTTTAATTTCCTCTTGTGTCATGCCAGTAAAGCCTGTTGAATTGAATTGAATTGAATTGAAAGGTGACAGAGAGAGGGAGTGAATCATTGCCCTGCTTACAGCTCTCTTGAAATCACGTTTCATCCATTTGAAATGGTAAAATCTTCTGGGTTCATTATGAAGCCGTGGCGGGAGTAATCAGACTGTGGCTGAGGACGTCAGTAGAGTAGGCGGTCCTTCAATGTGGCTGATCTCAAATTCGTCTTGGGTCCATTCATGTCTGAACTTAGAGAAGACCGCTTGGGATCAGATCACCTGAGATGGTGTTAATACCAGGTCTGAACAGGATCTTTTCTGTGAAGCCTGATGCGTGTGCTGTGGAGCTCCATCCTGACTGAAGCTAACATGCAAACCCAATGTAATGTAATGAAGTGCCTGCCGGCCTGTCAGTGCAGTCTTTATGAATACAAATGAGCATCAGTGTGATGAAGTGTGTTTGTCTTGTGCTCTTTCTTTGTCTCTGCAGGAGCTCAGAGAGTCGTTAGAGGTGATGGTGCGTCAGACCAGGTCCCTGATGATGACTCCAGACAGTGACTATTACTCATCACTCCTGCTCAGGCAGCAGCTGGAAGCTCTGGACAGGGCGGTGTCTGAGCTGCAGGTGACTGAACACTGTGCTCAGTCCTGTTGTGAGGACGGTGTTCCAGTGTTTAGAATTGTGTGGATTAGAGAAGAACAGTAAGACAAAGGTTCACGTAGCATTACGTCTCTGTAGACCTCAGTAGGAGAAATGAATGTCCTCTGACAGCTGCAGCTTCCTGCAGCAGGAGCAGAGAACTGCATCTCCATTTCTTCTCTCATAGAAATGACATCATGTAAACCAGAGAGTGTAGCTGTGGTCTGATCCTGGTGTCTCTGGTCTGTGTCCCTCAGACCTTCTCCTCTCTGGTGCTGAAGACCTTCTCCAGTGACTGTAAGAGGATGTCAGGGGAGATCTTTGAACAGACCATGCCCTCTTCTGTTCACTGGAAACACAGCCACAGAACAGGTACTGAAATCTGACAGTTATCAGGCCCAAGAGTCATGTTAACCAAATATTTTCCGTCATTTACTAAATTTTTTTGACAATGACAGAAAAATCTTGAGACCATCCGTTTGACAGATTTGAACAGAGTTAGATGGCAGGTTCTGTCAGGCGGATGCACAGACCAGACACAGACAGGAGCATGTCTGAAGTGGAGATGATAATACTAGTCTCCATCACAGTGCACAGGTTCAGCCTTCAGAACAAATTTAAAACAGCCATGAGAAAGTCGTCTGCCTGAGGCAAAGACACAAAACCTAATGACAAGCGCCTCTGCAGCAGTCTGTCTTGACGCACCCAGTTTAAATCCAATGAGGAAGGTTTGAGTTCAAGTCAATTGAGTTCAATTCAATTTCTTGTCAATAGTTTGCTGATATTTTAATTTTATTCATAAAAATGAATTCACCTACTTCCTGTGGTGTTGACATGAAAAGTCACTGTCAGTGTCTCTGTTCATCTTTCCCTCCATGCCCCTGCATAATCTGAATGATTTTTGAAAATTACAATGAAATGCTGTTAAATAGGATTTGTCTCATTATCATTTAAAATTAAAATGAAGCGTAATAATAGATTGTTACAGAATTTTTATGACCTTCATTATGACTCTCCTCATCCTCTTATGCAAATACTAATCAGACCTGGAGTCAGTGAAACCAGACTTCTAACCAACACTCTGACATTTAGAGAAACATCAGCTGATGTGAACCAGGCCTCACAACAAAGATCTCAGAGACTGAGGATGAAGAAGAGATGATGAGCATGAAGCTGAAAGAGTCTCAGAGTTCAGATCTTCATCAGTCCACAGTCACACAGTGAACACGTCACTGTACATGAGTCTGAGGGCTCAGTCTGAAAGCCTGGAGGGTTGACATGTGGATTTAACAATAGTCCTTCAGGAGAGAGCTCCCACTGATCTCAGACCAGATCTTCTGTCATGGTGTAATCTGTCATGGGAGGACGCAGTAGAAACGTCCCGTGACAGGAATCAGCTCAGATACGCAGAACTGGCAGCAGAGGCAAAGAACAGGGTTGTGACCTGATCCTGGGGGGGGGGCTGACGTTAGGTCAGGGGTGGTGGCTCATCACAGCCTGAGGCCCCCTGCAGGGCCCAGCGACAGGTCCCATCCAACATCGCTGAACATGAACTCTGGTTCTCTGGTTCCAGAGAACTTATCACCCAGATTTGATAACGTTTAACTGTGTGTGGTGACTTCTCTGATGGTGCACAGGTTTTCCCAGCAGTCCCAGTGAGTATGCGTCTCTGGCAGCTCAGACTGTGATTGGTCAGGTTTTAGAGGGTGTGGCTCCGTTGTCTGACGACGCCCGTGTCCAGGCTCTGAGTGTAACGATGACAGCTTTCCTGGAGGCGTGGATGGAGCACATCCTGAAGCAGAAGATCAAATTCAGGTATGTTTGTGGTTGTAGCATCGTACACAGCATCCACCACAGTGTTATCCATCTAATGCATGCTCCGTGGAATGGGCTGCCCCTGTAGCTGAAGGGTTACCCGGCTCCATGTCCTTCATTCTGTTATTCTGTGACCAGAGGCTTGTTCTATGAAGCAAGTTCAACAAACCCAGGATAACTTTTAGTTATCTGGCTTAACTGAACCTAACATTGACCATCCTGATAACCTGTACTACGAAGCTGGTTATCAAGTATTAATATGATATGAGAAGAAACACTGATACCTGCAGGTGAATTCAGTTATCGTGACGTCATAAAGTGGAATTCAACAAGGTGAAATGTAAACGATGATCGCATCACTAGAATTTTAAATATATTATATATATTTCAATATAATTTCTATTAAAGTCAGACTAAAGATATGTTGTAAATAAGAACATGAATTATCATTGCGTGTGAGTTTTTCCCTCTTTTGTCTGATGATGAACAAACTGTTATGAACATGTGAAGCAGATCAAACAGTTAAAGTTCATGTCAGACTGTTTCTGCTGCAGAGAGGAGAGAAAGAAAAGAGTCAGTCCGACTGAAATGTTCATTTATAACCATGGAAACAGTGAACAGTGTGTGGATCATTGTTGGTTTGGTTTTGATTTCTCCTCATGTTGTTCTGAGCTGCAGTGATGAAGAAGAGAGTAAAAGCTTCATCACTGTCAGGAATCCTGTCCATTAAAGAGTCTGTGTTCAGGTCAAATGAAGCTACAATAGTTATTATGTAGTTATTTAGTGATAAACTCTCCTCTGTTTGTTAGAGGCTCTGTTTTAAAACCAGAGTGACACATGGAAAGACTCAAACAGCAACACATCCACTGATCTATACAAATATGTACTGATCTTTATTACTGATCACTTTATTGTAAACTCTTTTGTCCCTGTCAGGATCCTGTAGGAATGATGACTGAGTTTTTCCAGTGATTTGATTGGTCAGTAGTTTGATCTGATCCACAGCAGGTTAAGAATTCAGTATTAGTTACCATGGTGATTTAACCTGGTAAGAAGTGTTAAACCTGAAGTTAGCTCGATACCAACCTGCTTCGTAGTACAGATCTGTTGTTCAGTGAGGGTTCAGTGTTGCGCTGTGGTTCCTCCTCAGTGTGCAGGGAGCTCTCCAGCTGAAGCAGGACTTTGACTCTATCAGAGAGCTGATCCAGTCGGACAGGTACGGTCTGTCAGCTGACCTCCACCAGCACCTGCTCAGCCTGCGGTACGTCACCTCCTGCCTTCTAACTGACCTGTGTGTCCTCAGGGATGTTCAAGTGACCTTACAGTAGTTATAGTGTTGGCCTAGTTGTGTCTGTGTGTCTGTGTGTGTGTGTGTGTGTGTGTGTGTGTGTGTGTGTGTGTGTGTGTGTGTGTGTGTGTGTGTGTGTGTGTGTGTTTGTGTGTGTGGTTGGGTCGGTGGTAGGTTCGTCATGAATATTAATGAGCCACATGAAATATCATAATTTGCAACTCTGCTGAACGTATGCAGGGGGAAACACTGTTCATCATAAACTTCACTGTAGTTTCAGGTTAACGACATCAGGGCCAGTTTCACAAAGATCTGTCAGAGTGGTCTGTAGTGTCTATTAGTCAGACTGTTTCAAAATAAAGACTTACTCATTTTAACACAAAAACATTAGACACCTTACCCCCAGACTAACTCAGGTCTAAGACCAATGGGCCTCGTTCACCAATATCTTCTTAAGTATTTTCTTAAATTCTTTAAGTTGTTCTGAAGAAAGTTCTTAAGAAAACTCTGTCAGATTCATGAACGTGTTCTTAAGCTGCAGAATTGCACGCACCTGTATTCTTAGATTGATGAATGCCAATCTCCTCGTAAATTGAAAGTGTGTGCCAGTTGGCTCTAATTAGCATAGGTAAACCCGAAAATGCCCTTTAAAAGGCCATGAGACTGAAAGGTTGTGTGCAAACACAGAAAGAAGTCACAAAGAGATACCATAAGGGAAAGTTGAGAAAATGACAAAACGAAAAATCAAAAGACGGAGCACCGGACTCAAAACGCAAAAGGGACTTTAGTAGTTCTGAAGTGGAGGTACTGCTGCAGGAAATGAGCCGTAAACGAGCAGTTGAGTGTTAATGTAGCATTCATTTATTTTAAGACCATAATGCTTTGTAAAATAACAGAAGTAATTTTTTCGAAATATTAAAAATTGCAAAAATATTATTGTAATTTAAATAACATATTATTATATAACTGTAGAACAGAAGAAAATGCAACACTCAAATATGTGTAAGAGTACTCCTGAGTGTGCGTAGATTCTGTTCTTACCTAAGAACAAATCCCAAATAAGACAACATTGGTGAATGTCAGAATCTTTGTAAAAAGTGCTCAAGTGGGTTTTAATTTCTTCTTAAGAATGGTTGGTTAATGAGGCCCAATGTTACCATGGTAACAATCAATGACACCTGTGCTGACTAATAGCACCAAACAACATAAAACGGGAAAACTTGGCTCATAATTTGTGGTTTGCTGACATTGTTATGGAGAGAGCAAAGAGAAGGGAAAGAGTTTTTAGACACAGCAGAGGTTTTTTTTTCCAAATCAGATTTTTCTTTTTTTTGTTTCACTCTCCACTGAAAGTAAAATGTCCTTATAACTGTTGAATTCTTGCAAGAGACAAACATTTTCTGCTGAGGGTAAACAGAGCTGAGTGGTTGGATTCGGTTCCTCGGTCGGCCATTTTTTTTATTTTGAAAAAAGTCTTAATTTACCCAGAATCAATTGTACCACAGTCCGGCTTAAGATAGTCAAGAACAGTTTAGTTCAAAGCAGTTCAGCTTTGTGCACAGATTAATTTATACTCAGTGTATCTGGAGTCTGACTGTTTGTTATATCTAAGACACAGTCAGTCTGTCTGTGTGAAACCGTCCCCTGACCAGGATCCTGTTCTCATTATTCACATAGATGCTGAACTGTGGATCTTTAAGTGAAACATGAACAAACTTTCAGATCAGTCAGGATACATTTATGTGTCACATTTCAGTATTTTGGGAATAACTTTGGGAAAAATTGGAATTTTAACACCAAAAGTCATTGCACCTCTTTCGGGATCAAGACGCACGTTTTGACGTATATATTACCGGGGTTTTCTCAAAGCTGCGGGACGAGTTACGCGCCAAAATTTGGGAATAATAATGCATTAGGAATGCATTGGAATTTTCTTTAAAAACCCACAAAATTTCACCTTTTTTCTGAGTCACCCAGCTCTCTCATACCTGCACGTAGAAATGTGATTCAAACTATAAAACGGAGGAAAACTTCTGCTCTCTCCAAAACACAGCAACTGTTTTTACATGACATGTAAACTTTTCAAACTATGAGCACTCAAAGGAGGAGTGGAAATCACTTTTTCTTCAAAGTTAGAGTGACAGCGTCAGTTGGCTAGAGTGCGTGAAGCAGTAAAAAATAACCTTTATTTTTATTTTTAACTCGAGCTCACGGCCAAACCGTAAAAAGGAGACAAATAATTCTTTCTGAAAATGTAGACATAGTTGTTGGGATTCATAAAATGTAACTTTGACAGGCAGGGTCTGCACAAAATTTAAACGGGGGTGCCGAGTCCGGCAGCAATACCTGTCTCACTCTCATTGACACCTAATGTAATCGTCTTTTTTTTTCAAAAGAATCTCACTCTGTCTTCGCACTGAGCTTACTCACTCATTTTAAGGAATATCTGAATAAAATAGAGACTGTAAGAAACTTCTGGTTTCAGTGTCTCTCACTGTGTTTTCGGTTTTTGAAAAGAAGTAACGGTTTTCTCGTAATTTGCAATTGTTTTAAGCCATGTAGAAGCCACATTCTGGGCAGATTTTCACATTGCCATGGCAACGGCAGCTCCTGACCTGACCTCTGACAGCCAAGGGCTGCGTGATGTCATCGCTACAGTGACACAGAGAAGATTTTTTACCCTAACCCTAACCCTATCCCGGCAGTAGCCCCCGTGGCACTCAAAATTTCCCTGGAATTTTCTAGTTTTCACTATAATTCTATCGATCAGTAACACATTGACTTAATATATGACTGTTTTGGTCATTGGTCTCAAACACTTTCTGTAATAAAACATCTGTTATCTTACCAGATGGGGTCCATGGTCTAATTTGTCTCAGGTCAGGGGTCCTTGATGTGAAAAAGTTTGAGAACCACTGAGTTAAACAAAAAACAGAAAACATAAAGCACCAGGTGTGCTTCACCGTTGTAATCTTCCCTTCTTTCTGCAGGGTGTTTCAGCAGGTGGACTCAGCAGTGGTGTGTCTGCTCCAGCAGCCTCAGGCCAAACCATACCTGCAGTCCAGAACCTGGGAGCCTTTCACACGCTGCTGTGAGTATCACTCTGGTCTCAGACCCGGAGGCTCAGGGACTGGATCTGTATTTAGAACCTGAAGAAGACTTTAGAAACATGTAAACAGCAGAGTGTGGGTCAAATGTGGCCCAACATCAAAGTCCGGGACATCATATATGACACTCACTGCAGTTGTGCTAGAACCATGAATGAGCCATGACACATTTCATGATTTGGGTACCTACATACTTTAATTGCTTCACACACCAGTGATCACATAGGATACTTAGTGCACACGTCTTAGATATTAGGTGTACATCTCTTATAAATAAAAATATATCACAACAGCTCTGAAAGAACTGATTGGTTTGAAGAAGAAGTCAAACCTGAGGCAGTAACTCTGTGTGTACCTGTGTACTTACTATAATTAATAATGATTATTATGATTATTATTAATGTAGGAGCACTACAGTTGCCACTACATTACTATTGCTGTTACTGCCACTATCAGCCACTATCACTATTATTAAGTTTGCTATCACTGTACATTCTTGTTCTTTTCCTCTGCGCTCTCTCTCTCTCTCTCTCTCTCTCTCTCTCTCTCCAACCCAACCGGTCGAGGCAGATGCTCGAGGTTTCTGCCTCTTTCCTTGCCACTGTTGCCTAGTGCTGCTCTTGGTGGGAATTGTTGGGTCTCTGTAAATAATATTATAAAGAGAAGGTCTAGACCTGCTCTATTTGGAAATTGAGATAACGTATGTTGTGAATTGGCATTATACATAGATAAATTGACTTGACTTGACCTGTTCAGGTCCAGCCGGCAGCAGAGACAGCTCTGATGCAGCGGTGGGGAGCAGTATAACCAACCTGGGCTATGTAGAGGGTGAAGACCTGACTCAGGCTGACCCCTCTGTTATGACCTCTGACCTCCCTCCAGTGGACCCCTCCAACCCCGGAGAGCCCTACCTCGCCCCAAGGTATGTGTTACAGCTTCTACGTGGAGGCAGTGATGGTGTGGAACATTAAAGAACCTCTGAAGGTTCTGTGTTCTTCATGTGTTTTGGGGCCAGTGGAGCTCCCGCAGTAAGAACGGTTCTGTCTGTGTTTGTGCTCTCAGTCTGGCTCTGGGTCCTGTTCAGCAGGAGTGGCTGGACCTGAGGATCCATGGCAGTGCTCGACGCTGGAGGCTGCCGGGACTACAGTGTCTCTCCAAGTCTGAACCCTGAACACACACACACACACACACACACACACACACACACTCTGGTTTAATCCTGTTGTTTGTACTGTACATTTAAGAAACTTTTCAAAGATGTCAAGCTTATTTATTAATATTTGTATCTTTAACAAAATATTTGTTTTACCAGCAAAATTATTTTCATATTCCTGAATAAAATACATTTTTATTCATATATTTCATCATCATAACTTTGTGATAAAATGTTAAATATGTGTATATGGTGCCTTCAACACTGTGCTGTGAGCCAATGGATTCAAGTGGAGTTAAAACAAATTAAATAAATAAACATGAAATGCACCATGATAACAAACAGTGTCTCTGTTCATTCAGATGAATTTAGAGGAACTCTAATCTGAACTGCTCTTTTACTTTTATGAAAAACAAACCTCTTCTTTCCCCTTTCTTATTGGACATCCTCCCCTCAAAAACAGAGGAGGGAAGTATAAATAACCAACTAAAATTAGTTTCTTACTTGTAGAACACAATAGACCTGAGGCAGAAATCGTACTGGAACAAAGTGAGAACCACTGAAGGTATAGTTGAGAGTAATTTGTGTTTTATCAGCTGGGGGCCAGGACTGAACCCAACCGGGGCCCGAGACTATCTGTGTTATTTAGTCTCTCACACAGAGCACAGCCTCAGTCTGGATCCACAATGTTTATTCTTTATTTACTTAAACTCCAGAACGTCACAGACTTTTATTAGAGGCAGGTCTTTATGTCTAACTCCCTCTGTTTGATATGTAGAGTTGGTCATAGTCGTTAGTACGAAGCCTCGTTACCGATGGCTTCTCTCTCTCCCTCCCTCGCTCCTGCTCTCTCTGCTTGGTGTGTCTTATGTTTAGTTATTCCTCTGCCTCCTTTAGTAATAATGATACATGTATTCAAAGTAGTTTATTTGTTGTAATAGAGGGGGGGCTCAGTGTATTGGAAGTGCTCCTCCTCTTCCATGCAGTTCCCGAGCAGCCGGGAAACCAAAGCGACTCAGTGGACTGCCTATAACAAGAGGTGCAGCCCTGAGCCCCCGGTCAGCATCCATACACGGTCCAGACCTGAACCAGGTTTATACCCAGACTGTTTGAAAAACAGTCTCTAAATCTAGAGACAATGAGCTAAGTTTCCAACACTGCAGCTGTAAACACCCCCTTAATAGAACCTGTTTGTACCAGAAACTCCAACTCAGTGACGAGAGACTTGGCTGACCAACGGTGGAAATATGATCAGTCAGTCAGTGACATTCCAGATTATAGTGCTGTCCCTGCTGTTGTGGTCCAGCCAAAAATACAGAATGAACAGCAGAGCCTTGTCTGTAATGCTCCACACTCCAGTCCGGCAGGTGGCGGTAATTCACCTGAAGAAACTGTGGAGGGCGGTATTACGATTCACAGTGAAAAGGCTGCCGGAAATTCATTAGAAGAAGAAGAAGAGGGAAACGTATGAGGAAGAAAAGTATCATAAATATAGTGGTGGTCTACTAAGACCAGATCCAGGATGGAGAGTCCGGAGCTCAGCTTCACTTTGGCCTACGTCGTCTTCTGTCTGTGCTTCGTGTTCACGCCCACCGAGTTCCGCTCGGCCGGTCTGACCGTCCAGAACCTCTTCTCGTCCTGGCTGGGCAGCGAGGACGTGGGCTTCGTCCAGTACCATGTCCGGAGGACCAGTGTCACCGTGCTGGTCCACTCCGCACTGCCTCTAGGTAAAAGCTGACACTTTGACACACGGGGACCGGGATCTGACTAAGTCCATACTCTTCAGTTGAGTTTAGCGGCGTGTGGGAGAGTCCGGTGTTGTGTCAAAATCTGTGTTTCTCGTCACGTCCTGGACGCGGTGATGTGAATCTGACTTGTCCAACACCCTCCAACGTCCAGTCTCAGGTTCGCGGTATGTCCGTCCTCAGATTCGCTCTGACCGGCCTAGCAGCCGGTGATCTGGCTGGGTCTGAGGTCTGGTCCTTCTCAGAGCAGCTCCTGGCTCCTCAGTGAGCTTTGGATCATGTTACATTAAACTTTTCACTTTTGTGAGCAGATGAAAACTTTGACAAGAACCCGGAAGTGTAATGTTGCCATGGTTTCATTGTTTCAGCCTGAGCCTGTATGTGTTTACAGTTTGAAGAGCAGATGTGCAAACAGCTGCTGTCACTGGATCAAACACCAGCCTCTGTTCCATCTCTGTTGCAGCAGAGACCAGAGAACATTAAAGCGTGTTTCATGTCCGTGAGTTCAGAGTTGACTGAGCTGTGACACTGAGGATTTTAAATGTCCTCCATGAGCTGTGTGTCACTGCTGTGACTGCTGATCAGCAGCCAGATGACACCTGCACACACCTGTACCTCTGGCCTCACACAGTACCTGTTTCCCTCTGCCCCCCCCCCCCCCCCCCCCCCTGACAGTTTCAACCTCTGGACAAGAGTCAAACCTTTCACAGGTAAAACTCACCCTAACTCCACTGACTCTGGACTTTATGAAAGTTTTTACTTTTATAGTTTACATCAAAATTTTACATGATTTTAGCTAAGGCTGCATGATATGCAAAAAATAATAATATTGCGATAATTTTTGCAGATATTGAGATTTCAGTTGGAATTATTTTTTTTCCCATTTCACGGAGGCTGTTTAAAGCGGCTCCAGACTCTCTCCTGTACACAGTCACTGTTTTATTCACCACGTTTATCAGTTGTCATAGTAACTTAATCTGTAATGCTTCCATACAGCAGACTGAAAGGATGCTGTACTGTGTCATTTATCAAACTGGCTGACAGCTGCACTCCTCATCCCTGACAACTGACAGGTGTGAGGGAAACATGATAATCTGATGGAGTGGATGTGTCTGTTGTTGTCAATCTGACATTTGAGCAAGAGAGAAGACCCGGCGAGGACTGTGACTGTCTTTTGAAATTATGTTTTTGGGCATTTTTTTGCTTTTATTCAGACAGTATAGTGAGAGATAGACAGTAAATTCAGGGGGAGAGAGAGGGGATGACATTCAGCAAAGGGCCGTGGGTCGGACTCAAACCCATGGCCGCTGCGGTTAGGACTAAGCCTATCTGGTATGCGCTCCACCAGGTGTGCCACCGAGTCGGCCCGAGGATTGACTGTTGAAGTTATTGATGTTGGATAAACACAGTATTTAGGAAATGTCTGGATAAAGCGTGTTCCAGTGAAAGAGTCCAGCAGGGCGTGTTGGGTAACTGTCTGTTGTGGTGTATCTTTGCCAAAAGTGTGTTGACTGGCGGTGATAAGAGAGGAGGTCTTGTCTGTAATATTCAGAACACTTTGTACATTTGACGTGAGAACTTGTGGTTAAACTGCTTCACCTGTTGGGCTGAGACTTCATATATTCATATCATATTAGAGGTGCTGCTACACTATCATCTTTTAAATCTAAACTAAAACCTTCCTTTTTAGCTGTGCTGTCCAGTCGTCTTGTTTGCTGGTCTTAATTTACCATCTTATTTTACTTTTATATGTATTATTTTTATTGGACTATTTCTTATTTTATGAATTTAGTTTTAATTTACATCTTTTTTACTGATTGATTGTTTGTCTTAATTATTTTATTTTCTTAATGGTTTTCATATCATTTATGTGTTTGTTTTAATCCGTGTCTAATGTTTGATCTTTACACTGTCCACATAGTTTCCTGATAAATCATGCTTTGTGCAGCTCATTGTATTTCCACCTGGAATGTAATGTGCTGTATAAATAAAATTTTGCTTGCTTGCTAAGTGAAGAGAGGTTTTCCCCTCACACAGGTTTCACTGGGTTATTGGTGTAGTGTTTTTTTTTTTTTTTTTTACAATAACTTCATTTGAAGTGTTTTCTGCTCGTCTCTCACAGCCTGTTTTCAAAAGAACGGAACAACACACACTCTGAATTGAGAGCGGGTCAGGTTTCTCAGCACATGGTCCTGGACTTTAGTGTAATAAACCTCGCAGATGAATAATATAGATAAAGAAGTAGCAGGCCACTGTTTACTGTGAGTGGACGGCACTTTATTTAGAGCTGCAGCTACAGATTATTTTTTATTATTGATTAATCTTCTACTTATTTTCTCAATTGTGCAATTCATCTTTATGTCTACAAAAATATCAGATACTAGTGAACAAGACTCGGTGTCATTAAACCCAAAGATTCTGTTTCTATCTGAGCAGGAAGCAGCGAGTCTTTATCATTTTGCTTAAAATGACACGTTTTCTATTGTAACTATGGCTGCAGATTTTTATTATTGTCTGTAATTTGACTGGTCGGTTAATCAACTAATCATTGCAGCTCACAGAGCAACATCAAACATACAGAATTGATATAATTGGCCATGCTGCACCTCCTGCACAGCTGACCTGGTGTGGAGGTAAAGAGCTGAGTGTGCTCAGGTACAGAGAAGACCACAGTGGATGTTTATGTGTGGGTCAGGGTTGGGGGTGTGGAGTGTGGGGGAGATCTGCCTCTGATGGGGTCACTGGCTGCTGTGGTTCATGTCTGTGTTGTTCATCTCTCCAGGTTACTACATGGGGATGTGTATTGCTGCTCCAGAGAAGAAGCTGGGCTACGTTCACCAGGTCAGCCTGTCTCCCTCTGTCCGTCTGTGCATCAATGAACACACAGTCTAGAAACCTGATACACACACACCACACTCCATAACAGCTGTTTAACATCCCACAATTCAGAGCAGCTCCACGCTGTAATGATGTGATTAATGAGTTTTAATGTGGAGCTGCACAGAGATGGCCGTGTGCAGGAGATGAGATTCAGTAAAGGAGAAAACAGAGATCATCCCTCACTACTACACTGGGCTCAGTGTAAGAGTCCTGGGAAATCCTGACTACTCCCAAACATGTTTTTTCTTAGTTTTCAAGTACAAAAACAGTTTGTCTCCAAACGGTTCTTCACTTCAGGTGAATTCTTAAATAATCCTCTTGTTTTAAAAACACTTAACCTGCTGCTGGTAGAGGATGAGCAGCTACGTCACATTATTTAGAAAAAACTTCCCAAATCCACGAAGTAAGAGATGAAAAACTATGGGAGAGTGACTCTGAGGTGACGCACACAGGCCCTGTTCACACCTGTTCAGGTATCAACATCCATCTCAGGTGATCTGATCACATTTGAGATCCGGTCACTCGGACCACATTCATTTTCTGAAACACCGACTACTCTACTGACTACCTCTGCTACAGTCTGATTGGTCCCAACACAGTTTATAATGAACAGAAATATTTTACAATTTCAAATGGATAAAACTTTATTTCACTGTTTCAGTTTATTTTCACTTTATTCATTGTATGAGTGTAGTGGGTGTGAGGTTTATCCTTGACTTGCCCATCACCTTCCCTGTGATGTGAACAGTTTTGGAGAGTATGTTTCTGCTCTTTACACTCAGGGTGCTAAACCAAGCTGTTATGTTAAATGATGAGATGTTTTATCAGCTTTTTATGTCTTCAGTCACTTTTAGTTTAAGCGTTTATGGGGACTGATCATGTGCTTTCAGCTTTATTTTCCCTGTAAAGACTTCCTCTCATGTTCATGTTCAGCTCCATGTTGTGCAGAGTCAGTGAGGAGCACCAGTTACTGGTCTGAACCTCAGTAGTGATTGGGGGACGCTGATTGAAGTCAGTATTATGTAATAAATATTCTGACACCAACGAAAAATGTTCCAGATGTTCACATCAGTAGGATTTTAAAAAATAAGTAAATAAATATAAGAACATGAAAAATCTTGGAACTGATCCCCATTGTTTTTATTCTAAACGGGGCCCCTTCAGGGAGGTCTCCCACACAGATGTCATTGCAAATTGCCCATTGGTTGTTTCAGGGGGAGAGAGGTGCATTTTGAGACATTGCTGTAAAGTTTGTCAACGCTCAGTGGAGCCCCACGGCAGTTGCCTGCCTTGCTTGTTCACAAGATGCATCTCTGCTGAACCTAAACCTGTTTCATTTGTGTCAGCGAATTAGCAAACCTCCCAAACAGAAAGCTACAGTACAGTTAACTGCTCTGGTGAAATAAGACAGTTTCACTTCACCAGGTTTTATCAGTTGTGACTGAACTGAAAAAATCTGAGTGATGCCACTAAGTCAGCCCCCGCTGCTGTAAAAGAAATGACAGGCTGTCAGTGCACAATGGACATATGTGAGTCTTCTGATGAGTAAATACACAGAAATACTTTGTAAATAATGATTAAAAATATTTAGTTATTGATTTATTTTTTCAAAATGATTTATAATTCAGTCTAAACAGAAGTGAGGGACCTTGTGATGAGTATTTATTTTATCAGTCGTCCTGCGTGTCCTTGTCTGTGGACGTCCTCCCCTCTGTCCGTGAGCAGCAGTTACTGAGTGATGATGATCTACACGTCTCACCTGTGATGTCACGCCATGTCTCCCCAGGTGAGCGACAGCTGGAGAGCGTTTCTGCTCCTATCCCTCTGCCTCCAGCTGATCAGCTGGACACTCGTCATCTACTGGTCCCGCCATCACTGGCACAACCATCCAATCAGCCGGGCCCTGCAGGCCCATGTACAGCCCCCTCACTCCGGCTGGGGCTCTGTGGCAGTCAGTGTCAACACTGAGTTCAGACGCATAGATAAGTTTGCTACAGGGGCCCCAGGAGCCAGAGTCATCATCACTGACAGCTGGGTGTTAAAGGTGGGTGAAAGACTCGGTGGGCCACCTACGGCCCAACACTGTCATATAGTTCATATACAAAGGTACAAACACACGCATAGACAATGAAACAATAAAAGAAAAGACAATGACAAACCAAAAGATAAATGTAAAAAAATCAAATTTTACATGTTTCAAAGCCACAGTTTGTGTTATATGCAGCATATTATATTAATTCAACAGTTTTAAAGTCTGAAAAGCTTTTCTGTTTTTAACAGCAGATGAAGTTTTGCTATATTGTTTAAATTCATTAACAAAGAGCAGGAAAGTCGGCTTGGTTCTTGACCTCGCTTTCTTCTGAATATGGAATTTTCCAAAAATAATAAAAAGTTGTATTAGATACAACATGTTGCTTTAATCTTACCTTGACATCAAACAACTATTTCAATATTCACTTTTAGTTTTTTCTTTAGAAAACTGTCCACATCCCTCCAGAACATTCTTGTAAACGTACAGTGGGAGTGGATGGGAAATTCTTTCTTTTTCTCCACCACAGAAATCACACTTGTAATCAATATTCAGTTTGAATTTTTCTAACATGTTTAACTGGATAAATTCTGTCATATCTTGAAGACACCTAACAATTGTTATTGATACAGTATTTATAAGAGATTCTCCGTGCTTTTACACACTGTATATCACTAAATAGGTTAGACCAAACACATTGAGATGATGGGACAGTAACATAACTGAGAGTATTCCTCATATTTTTCTGAGAGCGCTTCTCTTTCAGGATATTAGTTTCACCTATATAAATATTTCCCACCCAAACTTCAAAATTATTGCAGCCCCAGAGTTTCCTGACAGTAACAGGAAACCTTCTGTATCATCGAAAACAATGGCATGCTCCTTTGGTTTTAGTGGTATTCATAACACTGTCCTTGAGTTACTTTATTTGACCTGTTGGTCATATTAAAATGCAGTTCCTATTGTGAGCACTAGGGGTCACTAACTTTAAGGGTGTGTCAGATACCAGAATGAGTCTCCTGAGGGAGATGCTGTGTTCTGGCCCTGACAGGTGGAGGTGAGTGGTCTCCCTGGTGTGGTCTCTGACCTCTGACCTCTGACCTCTGACCTCTGAATCAGAGGAGAAAACGGTCTTGTGTTCCTATCTCTGTGGGAAATTACCTCCAGTTTCCCAAATGTAAAACATACTGACCACCAATAACATTAATTATATAACAAGAACACCGGTCAAGATGTGGGATATCAAACAGTAACTGAACAGTCAGTCATTGTTTTGGATGTGGGAGAAACGTGCAAATGTAAAGTCCTGAGCCACTTTGACAAGGCCAGACCACTGAGTCAGACCACTTATTGACATTGGTCCAGACAAACCATGAACCTGTGCATCATTGATGAGAGAGGACAAGGCTAAACCATCTGCTCTGAACAGACAGAACCTGCTGTGGTTCAAGTCTGTGACACATTTGTTTTCAAATCTGATCAGATCTTCATCTAAGTTGCAATAATGAACAGTCTATTTTAACTAATGACACTCTGTGATTGTGTTGTTCTAGTTCAAACATTCACAGTGTATCTGAAACAGTGAGGGAAGCCCTCCACTAATGACATGAACAGAGGTTGACTGGAGTCAGGAGTTATCAGACCTGGAGTCAGTCAGTAAAACCAGACTGGAGGTTTGGGTTAGACTTAGCAGCTCTGATCAGCAGCTACTGGAGGAGCTGGTTTCAGGTTATTGGAGCCAAAGGAGGTTCAACCAGTTATTAAATCCAGGGTTCACTGACTGTTTCCACCAGAGCTGATAATGTTTAATCGTTGTGTTCAATAAAAACACAAAGATTAGGATTGTTTGTGTGATATCAGCAAGATACTGAGTTTGTCTGTTTGTGACGCAGATGAAGATTGGATCAGATTGACCAGGTCATTCAGAGGTTCACTGACCTTTTTATTTCCTCTGTACATTATGTATGTGACCAAACATTTTCTCTAATGACACTGAACCACAGCAGACTGTGGTCCAAGATGGCTGACAGTCACCTCAGTGATGTCCTTCACCTTCCACCTGACCTGACAGCAGCTCTTCAGGCCCACTATCACTGTTCCCACTGGGACTGGGAATATTTACTGCCCAGTGAAATTTCACAGTGATTAAATCCTCTTAGGGCAGATCCAGTGGGAAACTCAATCATTAAGATAGTCTGTTCAATTAAGGCTCATGACCCAGGACTGAAAATGTTTTTATCTATTGTGCCCCTGACATAAAAAGTTTCCTCTGAATTTGTTGTTGATCACCTGGAAACTGTAGAGACAGTACAGAGACAGTCTGTCACTGAGTGTATAACCAAGACCCCAGTAACAGGTCTGAGCTGTGAAGCAGTTTTGGTGTAGTGGTCCCAGTTAGTCCCACGTCTGGAGAGAATGACCCCCCCATAGAACAGCTCATAATGCCTTCTTCAACTGACTCAGACCCTACCTCAACTTAAAGTTATAATCTGTAACGTTTTTACATTAAAATGTCTAAAAACAACTAGACCTATGATCTATATGTTGTTGAGTTGTGTTTTTACATTATCACAAATGTTTCCATCAATTCTCAAACCAGAGAAATCTGTGATTTTAATCATTTGTTTCATTTGGTCGCCTGTCAATGACATCATATCCTCTATGATCATGTGTCAGTGTGTTTGTCTGACAGAAGCTCAACATTGACTTTTATCTAGTTTTAAGCCACATACACTTTTTCCACCTTGGTGGTTTTCAGCTCTATATTTGAAGCAGATGAAGGATTTTAGTCGTCGGACGTCTGGATCTGAAGTTATCAGAGAAACAAGCTGAGGAAATGTTAGACAGCTCAGCTCCCAGCTGCTGGAGACGTCCTGTCTTGTGTCACTGAAGAGCGTCACTGAATCTCTGAGTTTTAAATGTGAAACTGCTTTAGTCAGTGTTTTAATGGTTAGAATCACCGGGTCTGTTTGATTTCCTGAACCACTGACACTGAAGGAATCCAAACTGGGAGGAGCTTAAGGTAACGGTGATGAAGACAACAACTCCCATGATCCCACACTATTTCATGACATCAACCAACATGGTCTTTTGTTATTGTTCAGAGTCCAATACAATACAATTTATTCTTTCACAAGAATAAATTGTATTGTATTGTGAGAGTAAAGTGAGATCAGATCCAGATCTGAACTGAAGACAGAGTGCCTGTGCACCATCATATATAGTTAATCCTCCTTCTTAGGTGGGCTCTCCACCTATTTTCTAAAGCGAACCTATCAACACCATGGGAACAGTGGTGTCCAGGTTGTAGTAGTGATGCCAGGTGTCCAGACGTCTCCTCTCTATCCCCCACCTGGGCCACAGCTGCTCTCTAACACCAATGCTCCCAGGGCCTTCAGACCAGGTTCCATTCTATAACAAACTTACTTCAGCAAAGGCTGGTTCACATACAAATCGAACCTCAGTTGTGAATATGGCTGTTTCATTGGATATATAAGTTTCACATTCAACATGTTTATAATGTATATCATATTTTAGTTCAAATTTACAATAGCAACTTCAGACTAGAACCAGTCTGTGGAAAGTCTCCAGCAGTGCCAGAGTCAGAGCCATTTTTTGCATTTATTGCAAATTATAATTTCCCAAATCTGATTTATTGAACGGATGTAAATCCCTCTAACTTATGATCTGAGTTGAAATATTAAGTTATTATTTTTGTATTTATCATTGGATCTATTATCTATTGGGATTAATCAGATGATGATCAGCTGTGACAGAAGGAAGGTCAAACATGGGAAACGTGTGGGAGACAGTGAATCAGAGATGTTAGAGATGTTATTTAGTTTGAAGAAAAAATAAATCAGCCACGTGAAGGCAACAGACTGAGCGAGTGAAGCGTTGTGACTGTTTAATATGTGAGTTAGCAAGTGGAGCTCTGTGAAGATCACACAGATTAAAAGAAGTAAAAGGAACAGGTCACCACACCTGGTACTCCAGGTACGAGGAGAACAACGTTCAAAGGAAGGGAAGTCCAGTTAAAGCTGCACTGGTCACTGTGCTCAGTTCAGATGACTAATTTAATGTTGAAGAAGATGCTTTAAACTGATAAACCCACATAGAATTATCTCCAACTCCACCGAATATTGACTGGACTGTCAGCTAAACTAAACTGATTCATCAGGTGGACATGAGTCAAAATTAATGCTAATGTAGCTTTGCTGTGTTTACAGTGTGTCTTGCTGTCCCCACGTGGACAAAAAACGAATAAGTGCAGCTTCAAGGCTTCATAATGAGTCCTTGGCTGCAGTAGAAAAGTCTTTTTTTCTTAGGAAGCTTCAAACTGAGTGAAATGAGCTGAAGTCTCTGAGCAGCAGCATGATCACAGCTGGCTCACTTCTCTAAATGATGAGGAAAGGAGCTTCAATGCTTCCTATCTTATCTCCTTGAACTGATGGAAATCCTTGTCTGATCGACTCAAGCCCAAATCCATAGATATAGATTTATTCTCTTTAAATTCAGTCAGGAGTCATGAAGAATAAGCAGATTGAATTTATAGTTAACAATGTCATCATCATAACTAAATACCACAGTCTATACATAAATGTCATTTCACTAAATCCACTCCCATTGTGTAAAGCACTAAAAAGGAATTTTCTCTAGTTAACAATTGTATAGAAATGTCAAAAGTGCCTATGACAGGAAATATAATTTATTCTGATCTCTTGCTCAGTTCCTTATTTTTATTTAATTATTATTTCAATGGCTCAACTTTCTCTATCTGTATTTTTCTGTCATGTCATCTTATTTCAACCCTGTTTGTTTTGTTTTGTTGTTAGTGAAGGAGGATTTATCCTCCATGTGTTATAAATAAAGTTAGTTTAAAAAAAAAAAAGTTTAGTGTCAGTGCAGTCAGATTCTCTTCCTAAGTCCTAATGAACTCTCCGTCACATCTTTGACCTCATGATGTTTTCTTTGAGGTGGAGGAGAAGTGGTTACAGAGGAGATCATTTAGACTGTTCGACCTCAGCCCTTGTTCTGCTGACAGTAAAAACACACTGGAAACTGTTCAGTCCCACCTGTGGCACATGGTTATGAACCACTGTCAGGAATCATGCTACATTCTGAATGAATGAAAAGCTCCGACACACACAGTGAGGTGCAGATCAGTATGAGCTTCAGTGCAAGTGTTGTGTCAGTTTCTCTTGTCTTCATCATCATCATGGTCCCGTTCACCATGTTGTCATTTTGAAGTTTTACATTCATCCACATGTCTGACCCCTCTGTCTGTCTCCAGGTGACCACCTATCACGTCCACATGGCCTTACAGAATGATTGTCATGTGACAGTGACAGAGTCCAGGCAGCACCAGCTGAGTCCAGACTCGGCCTCCCCTGCACAGATCCTGACCCTGAGAGTGGAGAGCATCAACCCAGCTGTCAGACCCTTTTATATCAGGTGTGTTCTTACAGACTCAAGACCTAATCTGGTCGTGGTCTGTCGAGACAAAACAACATATGTCATGTCAGAAAAAAACAAGTCCCCTTTCCACTGTTTGCAGGCTGCACTCTACAGAGTACGCAGAGCTCAGGGAGAAGCTCCACGCTCCCATCAGAAACTCTGCCAACGTGGTGATCCACCAAACCATTAGTGAGCTTTTCCTGGAGACATTCAGAGCTCAGGTGGACCTCAACCAGCCATACACACTCCCTAGTGGACAGGTACATGTGCTGACGAGCTCATAAAGTCCCCAAATCACTGAGAATGTGAAATGAATGTGAGGACATTGTCTCTCCATCCACAGGAGATCGAGCCCTGTATTGGCTGCATGCAGGTCCCAGCAAGCACCAAGCTGGTTAGACTCTGCCACACAGAAGGTGAGCAACTGTGTGTGTGTGTGTGTGTGTGTGTGTGTGTGTGTGTGTGTGTGTGTGTGTGTGTGTGTATGTGTGTGACAGTGTCTCTGTGTGTGTTACAGGAGCTGATATCGAGTCAGATTGCCAGGAGTGTTTCTGCAGACCCATGTGGTGTTTGTCCTGTTTGGGTCGATGGTTCGCTAGCCGCCAAGACCAGCAAAGACCCGAGACCTGGCTGTCCAGCAGAGTCCCCTGCCCCACCTGTAGAGCCAGATTCTGTATACTGGATGTCTGTGTGGTTCGCTGAGAACACACACAAACTGAGTTTTTCCTCTGGAAATAAAGTGGAGCTGTGTTTTTACACAACAGAGAAGTGGACTGGACTGATCTGAGCTCAGTGATGTACCTGCTTTTTCTCTGCTTTCAATAAGGAGCGATCATGTAGAGGAAGAATATATAACATCTGGTTTGACTCTCAGCATGGTGTAAAGTGCAATGGTTTTTGGGATATATATTTGTTTGATGTCTGATAAGAGGATTTGTTTGTTTACTTAGTGATAATGTTGATTTTATATTTAAAATTAATTTTCTTTGTATGAACTCTCTTTAATATTTCCAGTAACGCTCAACATGTAAGAGTGTCCTCCAGCCGTGTAGTTGGAAAAGAAAATATGAAGCAAAGTGAAATCAAAAACAACCAAATGGACAAAAATCTGCAGCTTAGAAAAGCTACAGTACAAAGGCAGTTTAGTCAATGTCAGCTTCATTATTCATTTACACACGAGGACAGTGGAAGAAATTGTGCTTTTCTTTTCTTAATGATGCATATTAAAAATATAACATTGATATATTCATATCATGACCAGTGTTATATAATGTGAAGGTGCGTGCTCTTAAATCTGACTCCTCTATTCTTCGTCAGTAGGAGTGAGAGTCCAGGATCATTATTGACTTTTTATCACACAGTCCAACTGATTCTTTTAGTCTCTTGATAAGTTCAGTTTCCTCCCACAGGTCACCAGAGGTCTGTACTACAAAGCAAGTTCAACAAACCCAGGATAACTTTTAGTTATCTGGGTTAACTGAACCTACATTGACCATCCTGATAACCTGTACTACGAAGCTGGTTATCAGCTGGCTCAGTTAACTCTGAGTTCACCTGTCCAGGTACGAGCTGGTTCATGTGAAAGAGGCAGAGTTGTTCATTATAAGCAACATCGTCTGAACCATGAATAAAGTATTAATATGATATGAGAAGAAACACTGATACCTGCAGGTGAATTCAGTTATAGTGACGTCATAAAGTGGAATTCAACAAGGTGAAATGTAAACGATGATCGCATCACTAGAATTTTCAAAAATCTATTTCTAAATATAATTTCTATTAAAGTCAGACTAAAGATATGTTGTAAATAAGAACATGAATTATCATTGCGTGTGAGTTTTTCCCTCTTTTGTCTGATGATGAACAAACTGTTATGAACATGTGAAGCAGATCAAACAGTTAAAGTTCATGTCAGACTGTTTCTGCTGCAGAGAGGAGAGAAAGAAAAGAGTCAGTCCGACTGAAATGTTCATTTATAACCATGGAAACAGTGAACAGTGTGTGGATCATTGTTGGTTTGGTTTTGATTTCTCCTCATGTTGTTCTGAGCTGCAGTGATGAAGAAGAGAGTAAAAGCTTCATCACTGTCAGGAATCCTGTCCATTAAAGAGTCTGTGTTCAGGTCAAATGAAGCTACAATAGTTATTATGTAGTTATTTAGTGATAAACTCTCCTCTGTTTGTTACAGGCTCTGTTTTAAAACCAGAGTGACACATGGAAAGACTCAAACAGCAACACATCCACTGATCTATACAAATATGTACTGATCTTTATTACTGATCACTTTATTGTAAACTCTTTTGTCCCTGTCAGGATCCTGTAGGAATGATGACTCAGTTTTTCCAGTGATTTGATTGGTCAGTAGTTTGTCTGTTGACAAGTTTTGATCTGATCCAGAGCAGGTTAGGAGTTCAGCATAAGTTACCATGGTGATTTACCCCGGTAAGAAGTGAACCACCCAGAGTTATACCTGAAGTTACCTCGATAACCTCAGGTCCTGCTTCAAAGGACTACTCTAAACCAGGGGTATCCAACCTTTTCTACATGAGCGCTACTTTGACACAGAGGCTGAGAGCTCCTCGTGTCTTATATTACTGTTTACATTTATTCACATATCTTATCAAAACACTCAAATTGTTCTCAGACCAGTCTTAACAAGTCATCAAATATCAATATCCAAAACTCACATTTTGTACCAAACACGTGAAACTGTCATCAAACAAAAATTTGAGTCATGATTCAGTCAGGCTTGAACACAGACATGATAACACCACTACAAATAAACCACCAAGGTAGCCTATGTTGAGATTGCACAATTATCTAACACCAGGTCCACCGACATCATGGTTCATTTGAAGTGGATTTTTGCCTGCCATGGCATCCCTCAGGTCCCCATGTTGGATAATGGGCCACATTTTCTAGACAAGCCTTCACTTCCTTTGCATTTTCGTATGGGTTCATACACATCTGAAATAGAAGGTTTTACCTTTAGTTTGATTCATGTTTATGCACCAAACTGAGCAGGAACGGTGGCAACCCATTTAGATTTAGAATTTAACATTTAGATTTAGATTTAACATTTAGACTTAATACTAAGATTTAGATTTAATATTTAGATTTAAAATTTAACTTTTAGACTTAAGATTCATACACATTGTTAATTTATATAATTAAATAATTAGATAGAACATAATGTTTTACATGAAGTTCTGTCTCAAATGTGAGCAAAGTGAACTAAATATTCAAAATATATCAGCTAAAAAGTTGTAACTCAATTTTTACATTTGGCACCCAATAGAGAAAGGAGACACCTCACTTACAATCATTTCCTGTAACTGTCATATGGGTTTGTCCACCTCCCTGTCCCTGTAGGAGACCAGCAGCAGGTCTGAGTCTGTTCACTCCAATAGGAGAGGTGAACCTGAACACAGATTATGATTCTTTCACTCGATTGTCACCAAAATAATATTAGATCCATTTTTCACAAACCACAGATCTTCAGAACATTTTGACATTAAAATGGCATTTTTCAAACAGATCAGGAGAAAATGAACTTTATTAGAAACCTGATCTGTCTCAGCAACAAACTCTCGCAAGATCTTGTAGCACAGATCTCTTCTCTCTGTCGGTTCTGGTTCTGGTCTCGCTGCTGCAGTAGTGCTGCTGTCCAACCTCAGAAGTTTAGAGCAACTTATACTTGAATAAAACGTGTGTCTTTGCTTAATAATACTCTCATTATTATTATTATTGAACTGTAGAGAGTATTATTAGACTGATATGATCTTGTACTGGGTTGATCAGATATTAAGCTAGCAGATAAAAACAAGCAACAAAAGTTGTAAATTCAAATTGTATGTAGCGTTATACTGTATTGTTATGTTTTGACATGAACAAGCAATCACGACCACGGCCACTTAGAAGGCAGGAAGTGTAGACCATTTCACACCATCGGTGCTGCTTGTAATCATGGATGTATTATATTGTGTCAATCTTTTGTTATAGAGTATCTTTGGAAATAGCCATCTCATTCATCATGAAGCTCGACTGCTGAAGCTTCAAACTACTTCTCATCTCTTTTCTCATTAGTTTATACAGAACACAATGCATTAATTACTTAACCTTTAATATCCCTCATTTACGCACTAACACTGGCAGAACTGATTTCACGTACTTGCACAGTTTAAATGCAACAAACTGCAAACTGCCCTCAAACTAGAGTCTTACCCACCACACCCCCACCCATAATTGAGTTCAGTAATAGTTAGTTGTTAATTAAACAGCTTAATTGTCAGTTGTGGTTGAGATTGTTAGCATGTGAAATGAAGTGAACAAAAAAAAGGGAAAACTCAAACTCAAGCTCCATTTATTTCATTTTTCTATGAATAAGCACTTTAAATTCACTCAATTAATTTACATTTATCTTCTTTAATAAGACAGAGAGAGAGAGAGAGAGAGCTAACGTTAGCTAGCTAGCTTACTAACTAACTAAGTTAGCTAAGGAGACAACAATAAGACAACATTAAAACTGCTGGGGTGTGATAGGACTGTTAAGTTCAGGGGATGGGACACGACAATTCGACCATATTCCACTGGTTCCTATATTACTAGCAAATGTTGTCAGTGCTAACGATAGCTAGTTAGCACATTTCAAGCTGCTAAATAGTTCTAGCATAGATACACCAGACCTAGTTGCTGAATAGTGTCAAATTCCTAAAGGTCAAATGAGCAGTATATTTATACTTTGTGTGGGTAGACCTGGCAAATGCCAGCAGTCAGAGATTGGGAGGGAAATTATCAAATGAAGACACAACAAGGCTAAGATAACAAATCAAAGACACAATAGAAATAGGTAAAGCTCCCCCCCCAAAAAAAGAAAACATGGAACATAAGATGTCAGAGAAAAAAAACCTTGAGGCTGGTGTGACAAAATATTTTAAGATTACCAGTTTATTCAAAATAATGTTAACATTCCCAGTGTCAGTGTTAATGTTAACTACAGTAACATTAACCATGCACCAGCACCAAACGAAGAGGAGGAAAGTGTTTAGACAAAGGCTGATTGAGAGACTGATGCCAGCCTCACAGATACTGCTGTATGTAGTGACAGTGACAGTGTTAACTGAGCTGGGGGAGATGATAATTGAGCTAACAACAAAGCTAATGATGGAGCTGACAGAGTTAACAGAACATTGACTGGGCTAGTGCTAGTGGGAGCTAATGGATGGATTCATGATATAGAGCCTCATAAACTGGAACACACCATAAGCATGGATTTTTAGCTTGAAGTTAAATTTTTAGCTAAATTGCAAAGTGGCATTTTTTTTTCTTAAAATTAAATTCATTGATATTTAACCCTGCAACAGTCTCAGAAAAACTCGATCACAACAACATACAGTGGTGTCAAAAGTAATTACCCCACTATAAGGCTATGGTTTCAAAAAAGTAATTAAAAAAAGTATTAATCAGACCACCCACATAGGAACGTAGCATTAGCAGAGCACTAAACAGTGCTGTCCTCGGTTCTGAAACAACCGCAGCACATTTAAGGTCTATCCATGCCCATGCCTTGTATCAGAGTATTATTGTCATTTTTTACATTGTCCACACAAACATAATATTTTGAAATATAAACCATAAAACAAACATGTAATATTAAAAAACTGCTGAATGAACGAGTCTTGAGCTGCAGTGACTATCTGTCCTGAATGTTTTGTCCTCAAGTGATGTTTGTTCTGAAGATGACTTTGCAGTTTGAATGACTGCTGCCAGGAAATACTGTACATACTTCAATATGGTATTGACAAAACAACAGTGGGAAATAATTTTATCCTGAAGTCAGTCATCTCTGTCTTTTTGTCAGTTGTTCATGGGTCCTGACACATCTCAGAGAAGTAAGCTACTGATGTTATTTCATCTGCTAATATGTGGGAGGGCAGTTCCTCCTGTTCTCTCTTCTGTTTATCCACGTCTTTGTCTTGGCTATGATCCTCATATCACTTGTCCTTCCAGTGTCTTGAATCCTCATAGTTTTGTCAAGAGCTCCAAGTGTTGGGTTTGTCCACTGCTGTCAGCATCACTCCTGAAACACAAAGAGGAATGAGTCCATTAAAAGCCCAAACTGAAGGTTTGAGACTGACTGCAGGTCACTGTGGTCTCAGATTCTGCTTTGAATGTCTTTTGGTGAAGTTTTGAATCTCCACATCCCACACACTGTGATTAGGATGTTTACATATTGTGTTGTGATTATTGTATCTCATCAGACTATTCAGTAGTGATTGTATTACTTGAGTGTTGTTTACAGTACACATTTCTACAGTGAAACTGGAAAGATAGAAGTGTATTTTACTGTATACAATGACTCTTCAGAAGAAAAGACTGTGGGAGTAATTTTCTAATGTGCAAGCACAATTGACAAGCACATTTTGGTTATTGCTAGTCAAAAGTCAAATGTCCAAAAAAGGCTGCTGTCCTCTCTGCTTGACAGGCCTTACAGCATTTGTCAACGGGTCACGATCACACCCACAAAAATGTCAGGAACTATAGATACAAAAGCTGGAAGTCAAACTAGCTTCAGAGACACCTACTCTGAGCTGGTGAGGACCAGACCCTGCAAGATACACTCATTCCTGGCACTGAGACTAGGTGACCTAACCACTAACTCACGCATTGACATCAGTTTTAGTTATTGTAACTATTCCTCCTCTCCACACTAGCCATGACAAGATTTCTTTTGAATGCATTAGCAATGTAAGAGTTCTTGTTCTGTGTAACAGTGACTGAATTTGAATGACTTAATAATATGATTATATAAATCTGGGTATCTTCTTATTGATCAAGTGATGCACTGACAACAAGTCACAGCAAGTCAGCTCATAGTTTTTTGCAATATATTTGTATATATTAGTATATTTTTTGTCGATTGATGTTTTTTATTCTACGTCGTTTCACGATGGAGAAAATAATGTACACAAAGGAAGAACTCCTGGCTTTAAAGTTTACCAGATATAGAGTTCAACATCCCATACTGGCTGAGCTGAAGAAGCCATACTGTGGATGCAGAGCCGGGGCTAAGCTAAAGGCTATTAAATGGTGATATAAACCTTTTCTACCAACGATCCTCATGGGAAATGTCAACTCCCTGGCTAACAAGTGTGATGAACTGGAGGCACTTGTGAAGAACCAGCGAGCATATCATGAGTGTAGTCTCATGTGTTTCACGGAGACCTGGTTAAATGACAATACTCCCGACCGCTGTCATTCCTACAAGCCCTGTGTACTGAGGCAGGCTGCAACCACCCGCTCATTCAGGACCTGGACCACGGAGGCCAGTGAGTCTCTAAGAGACTGTTTTGAGTGCACAGATTGGAATGTCCTGTTGGAGTCACAGGAAAATGATAACTGCAAGGACCCTGACCTTGATAGTATTGTTGAATGTACCACGGACTACACTAACTTCTGTATGGACACTGTAATACCAGCAAGGACTAATTATTATTGTTTATTTATTATCAACTGTTTTTATTATTGTTAACAATGAGCTAATGGATACATAAATTTCCCCTAGGGATAAATAAAGTATCTATCTATCTATCTATCTATAGCAGCTACCACAGTCAGTTGGATCAATGCATAAAAGGGATCTCAGTCTGGTCTATTACGTCACAGTTAGGTCGGGGCCACAGAATTAATCTCAACCACATGTTCAGATCCAAGCCAAATATATATAAGCTGAAAAAGCAGCTTCTACACACAATATGTGTTGATGGAAAAATCACCTGTATTAACATCATGTACCAACTAGAATGTGTCTTTCCTGAAATGTGCATTTCTTGAAGACAATGCAATGTGACTGCTGAAAGCTCTTGCAGCTTGCTTGCTGCCCCTTCAGCCGGCAGGTTTTGCAGTTTTCTTGCAGCTGCAGCAGCTCTCAGCTCTCACAGCTAGCCTGCACCTCTTTCAGCTATTAAAGCTGATAGCTCATAGAATAATGAGTCTTATTCAAGGTCTCATTCCGTACAACTGATCCAAATTAAGTTGAAAAAATCGCAGAAAACATCAAATGAAACAAATGACTGTGGTTTATATCAATCTCTTCAGCATCATCCACTGAGTCCATGGACACCAGGACCATTCTTCTTCTATGCCTCATGGTTGCCAAGATATGAGCAAAACCTTTACCAATATTTGTGAGCTGATTTCTCACCACATGGTGGCGCTATCACTACCATTCATTTTTATGTACGATGAGGAAGCTGTTCAGCCTTTATCATGTCTCACCATGTTCTCTCATGTTTTGCTCACCAGAAAACCAGAAAACCAGTCAAAATATCATAAAATCAGCTGTTAAAGAAATCGACACCAAAAGTCATAGAACATATAACATAACACATACAACATATACATGCTGAACATGTTAGCATTGGAATCATGTTTCTAGCTGCAAGAGTGTAGAACGTACATATAAATTGTACACAAGAAAACAGAGGAAAGAATCACTAGAATGTGCATTTTCGTAGAGAGTGTGTGTGATTGCTGCAGCAGAAGCTCATTGTTTTCTTGCAGCCCTCAAGTCTTTACTGCAGTAAATATGAAATATCAATAGAGGGCCCTCAAAGACCCCAAATGACTATCACAACACTTCTGTGTTTACAGTCTGATCTCTGTTAGTGACATGAAATGCCATCAATGCACCACTGGGGGGCACCCAATGACCACTATGAAGCTGGCACAACACAGTTTTGCCAGTGCGGTCCACTGTTGGAGGGACACAAAATCACATCACAAGTCAACCAAATAAACAGCACATGACTTCTCTAAAGGAATACTGATATCCATGTAGACAATCACTACATTTAGAAAGACAGAAAACACATTTATTACAAGTTACTGACAACGGCAGTCAGTTGTGTTGGCACCCATTAAGTGTCACTCAAATAACACTCTCACCCAAACCTGGGATTGAACTCAGAACCTCTGGTACCCAAAAACTGACCCTTATTTGCAGAGGTGTTAACTTCTGAATGATTGACATGAAGCACTGCGGAACTGGTGGTTTGCAGTGAACGAGAGCTCGACTTTGGGTTAGCTGTCAATAAAGGTTTAAACCTCAGTTGAGTTAAACGGTGACATTTAGAGAGAGGAGGCCTGTGGCTACATTGTGATGCCTGTTATGTGTTGATGGAGATAAATCTGACCAGGAGCAGGTCTCCAGAAACCACTGCTCCACACTCTAGCTGGTCACATAACACTGGTGAAACCTGCAAAAAGCTATGAAACCCTTCACTCTTCAGGTAACAATCACAAACATTTTCAATAGATGCAGAGCACAACACTGAAAGATCAAAGTCTATCAGTGAATATTTAAAAGCTTGAATGGAGGTTGTGGCTGTGGTCTGTGTGACTGCTGAAAGCTCTTGCAGCTTGCTTGAGGCCGGTACATGTGACAGCTTCTGCAGATTTCTTGCAGCTATTAAAGCTGATAGCTCATACAATCCACAGGTAAAATATTTTTTTTATTTTACACCTCATGGATTATGATCATGAAAAATCTCAAATCAGTAACTGTCCACACGGTGGTGCTATCTGAACAATCTTTGACCATGTGAAGCATTTCACCATGGACCAGCTGTTTCCCAACTTTTTACAATTATTGAGATATTACTGATCTTATGCACTTCTCATAAAAAATGTAAAACTTGTTAATTATAAGATATCGACAAGCTGTTCACTAACTAATATGGCCTCATCATGCTTGATAATTTGAAATGAATCCATGTTTCTTGCCGTTACTGTGAGAGTGGTACTGATTTGTATTAAACAATACGCACTCTAGCGCCCCCTAGTGACAGAACTGAAGGAAACTCGACAGTCAAAAAAAGAAAAAAAGAAAAAAGAGTGGAAAGAAATGGTGAAAGTAATCTCACAACTTGTCACTGTCCTCCTGTAAGAAACAAGCCCACAGCTCCTCTGTGCAGCAGTTTATTGTGTTTTATGGGCAGACGCCCTCTAGACGCCATAGTCATTATAACAGGAGCAAAGGAGGACAGGTGACGAAGTATACAGAGTGACAAAGTCCATGTTAGGAAGAGGTCAGGGTGGATGGGTGGGTCAACAAAACACAGGCCTTTAACACAGAGAGGCCACGGCTCGTTTTCCCAGGTGAACTCAGTCACCAAGATTGACTCTTTTATCAATAACTGCATGGTATTATCATTACCATGACGACGAAGAAGACATTCAAGACCTTCAGCCCCTTCAGCCATCATTGTGTTTACATTACAAGAGGTTGTAATACGTCCTCTGAGCAGATACTTCTTCAGGACAGACTGGAGGCTATAGTGAGTCTCTATCACAAAGTGAGGAGACAGACCGATTGAGGTGAAGCAACCTGGTTAGCATGCTAACTTCAGTAGAAGAAAAGACAGAGTTAACATTGGTGTTTGTTTCCACTTCTGGAGACAGGTGCTGGTGAGTAAAAACATGATGTTTGATGCTGAACTCACAATGTTTCTTCTAGACTGGTAAGCAAACAGCTGTTAATGCTAACGTTAACTATGTAGCGGTAGCAAAACTTACAAATAGCTCCTTCAATATTTATTATAAAGTTGTGTTTTATCACATCATTTAATTTGTCCTGTTTAAAGTGATGAACAGTCAGAAAAGCTCAGGTGAGGTCGTGTTATTCCATCCCAGGAGAAATGTGAGGCTGCAACCAGAAATTATTTTCATTACCAATACGTCTGACAGTTATTTTCTTCAGTTATCAGTTATCAGATTGTTCAGTGAATGAAATGGTGATAATGCCAAAGTCTGAGCAACAGTAACAAATACAAAGATGTTGGCTTTACTGAGAGAATAAGAGGAAACCAGCAGATTCACCTCTGAGATGCTGGTACCAGAGAGGTTTCGGAATTTTGTGCTCAAAGTGACTTAAAGCTCCATATAGTATAAAGGTGGATGTCTATGTGTTGTTTGATTCGATATCTATATCTAGGTTCTATATCAATACTGTGAAAGTATCACAGTGCTCAGTCCACAGAGAAATGCACACAGCCTGTATTCAGAAACTGAGCCTTAAAACCAGCTGTTAGGACTTCTGGAACTTTGTGATGTCACAACAAAGCAGTCACTGCTCTCAGCCATGGCCTAAGCCCCACCCACCTGCAGCCAACATCCAACCTTGCAGACTTGGTTTTTCAGAGTGTTTACTTGAAATCTGCTATACTTTTATTGGATCACTCAGAAAACAGTCAGCCAATCAGAAGAGAGGCTCAGAGCCTCCTCTCTTCTGATTGGCTCAATGTATGTGCAGATTTAGTTTGGACCTCCTCTTTTAGTAAATACATCTCTTCCACCACTGCTGCTACAACGTGAGCAGTAGCGACTGCAGATTAAATTCTTAGTGTCGACATGATTGTTAGATTGTTGAGATAAAAATATTTCCAGACCCTCAGTTCACAGATTTACCATGTCATTGTGTGAAAGACACAAAAAAACATTTTCTCTGCTGTGACCTCAGGCTCAGTGTGGTGGAGCAAAATCACAATGAAGCAAAAAATGTCTGTTTTCCTCTGAACTGCGCGTACAGACTCAGTGGCTCTGAGAAAATAAAAAAGCATTTGGTTCTTGCCAGACACCCCCCCCCCCACCCACCACCACACACACACACACACACACACTCCCCCCACCCCCTCATCCCCCCACTCGGACACACACACCCTCTCTCTCTGTCTTTCCACCAGCTGCTGCTGTCTGACAGGCTGATGATGACTGTGTTTTTTCCCCTCCTTGTTTCAAAGTATGTTGGAGCAGATGGCCTGGAGAGGCAGAGTGGGGGAATGTTGGAGAGACTGCTGGGGAATGTGCCAAGTGTTTGTGTGTGTGTGTGTGTGTGTGTGTGTGTGTGTGTGTGTGTGTGTGTGTGTGTGTGTGTGTGTGTGTGTGTGTCTGTGTGTGTGTGTGTGTGTGTGTGTGGTTTCAGTTCGCGTGCCTTCTCGCTGCCCTCTGCCCTTCATGGCGCCAGCTCCACTTCCCCTCCACTCTAAACATCTGGTGTCTGGGACTTTGAGCACACACACACACACACACACACACACACACACACACACACACACACACACAGAGAAAGAGAGAAAAAGCCAGCTAGTAGGGAAGAAGCCCTCAGCTAGTTTAAATCTAAAAGAGCAGCATGAGTGTGAAGGTGGAGGAGAGAGCTGTGAAAACCTTTTCTTACTAACTTATTTATTCCACGACCTTCAGTGTTTAATGTGTTGAATGTGTTGTGCTCCCGTGTGCTGCTGTCAGACATGTTAAATATATGCCGTGCATTTCACACTCATACACACACACACACACACACACACACAATAGTGAACTAGTGAACTCTGATTTTGTTCTACACACAGGAAGTGATTGGCTGGTGATGCAGCGATTAATCTAATCAGTTATCATCAAACCTACTACCACAGGAGAGGAGCAGTGAGCCAGATAGCACCAACAGCACACAACATGTATTCACTACAACACAAACACCCACTGTGACAACTATTAACTGAGTCAGAGATTTAAACACGTGTTTGTGCTGTTGTGTAAGTCGTGCACTGATCTCCTCACTTCAGTCTGTTTCCTACAGCAGAGACAGTGACGTGTCAGATGTCAGCACAAAACAGGGACAGCGCTAAACCTATGTTTGGGCTCCTGACTATTGTCTGGAGACAGACTTTAAAAACTGAGAACCTGTGAGAGGAACCACAACAACCACACACACACACACACACACACACACACACACTCACACACACACACACACACACACACACACACACACACACACACACACACACACACACACACACACACACGAATCCTTCCTGTCATCAACGTCCTCCTCTCTGACTATATGAATCTGTTCTTTCCTTCAATGAAACTCTAAACTTCCTGCAGATGTTTCACATTCAAAGTCTGAAAGGATAGGATTATTTCCTTACACGCTGCTGGAAGGCTTTTAATGTGACACATCTGAAGAGGAAGTGCCAACTTTCACTGACAGTAAGAAGAGACTGGTGTTGTGAGGAAAACATGACTGTGTTGTTGTACTGACTGAACATTACACCGATTCCAGGAAGACAACAGGTAAATATGGTGAATGTGTTTGTGTTGACATCAAATCAAAACAGAGAACAGGAGGATTCTGACTGAAACATGATCTCATGTACATCTATTATACAGCAGGGACGTTAGAAATAAAGGCCTGGTTTGAAGATGCCTCACCTTCCTCTTCTTGCTCCTGCCCTCGGCCTGCAGGGTCCTGGTGCACTGCTCCACACACTGAGAGAAGCTCAGACTGCTATGGTCTGAGCTGTAGTCCAGCTCAGCCAACTGAGCCAGAGACAGGATGTAGTTGCAGGCGATGCGTAATATAGCCAGCTTGGACAGCTTCTGCCCGTATGAGTAACATGGCACCTGGACAGAGAGAGAGGAGGGAGATGGAGGGAGATCTTTACATGTCTGATCAGCAAACTGTGAATGAACTGCATTTCTTCTTTTAATCTAGAGCTTTATTGGCTGGCTTCTGCCCTGTTGTTTTTGGCTCCTGCAGGATGCCGTCGATGCTTTTCACAACAACAAAGCAGGTAGCTTTGTCTTAAGCCACAGCAGGCGTTACAGCAGGAAAAGCAAAGGTGGAATCAGTCACTTTAATAACAGCTGCGTTCTATTAAGATCAGCCAGTTCCAGCTCTGTTCACTGACTGGGACACTGGAACATTGTTAATGTTATTTGTTCCACCTGAACTTCCTGCTGTGAAGAGATGTCTTTGAGCTGAGGACACACAGCTGTGCACTCTGATCTGGGGCCAGTTTCACAAAGATCTGTCAGAGTGGTCTCTAGTGTTGGTCCAGTCATAGATCAGTCTGTTAGTCAGACATTAAAATAAAGACTGACTCATTTTAACTCAAAACATTAAACACCTTACCCCCAGACTAACTCAGGTCTAAGACCAATGTTTCCATGGTAACAATCAATGACACCTGCGCTGACAAGTAGCACCCAACAACAAAAAACAGCAAAACATGGCTCATATATGTTGTTTGCTAACATTGTTGTGGAGAGAGTAAAGAGAAGGGGAAAAGTTTTTAGACATTTTTTCCAAATTTTTTTATTTTTTTGTTTCACTCTCCACTGATTTTATAATTATAGAATTCATTGTACCACAGTCCGGCTTAATTTAGTCAAGAACTAAAGTGCTTTGTGCAACAGATGAATTTAGACTCAGTCTATCTGAAGTCTGACTGATTGTTATATCTAAGACACAGTCAGTTGGTCTTTGTTAAACCAGCCCCTGGAGAGTTCACCATCACAAAATCACCATCATACAGAAAGGGTGAGGAGGCATTCTGATGTAGACTGCAGCTATGAATCCTAAATCCTGACATCTTGTCAACTACTGTGATGAGTTATTAGAATAATTCTCAGTCAGTGAGGAAATAAATGATGTTTTCCTGTATGTTGACACAGGTATGTGTGAAAAAACCAATAAAACAGAACATGAACTGAAATAAACACAGTCATGGAGTCCAGTTCCATCTGCTCTTAAAATGCACATGTACTCTGATTGTCTGGATCCTCATCCTCTGTCTTCTCTCAGTCTGACATCCGAGAAGATACTTCAACTAAATGAATAATCAACAGTCAACTGCAATAAATGTGTTGAGTTCGTCATATTGTCATCATTTCTGTGTTTCAGTCATCAGATTATTTTCTCATTATTATTATTATTTTTTTATTTTAACTAATTATGTACCGAATAAGTAATTCAACTATTGTCTTCTCTGCAGTTGATTATTTGCAAAAAATACAAGAATGAGGAACAGCAAAGAAAGTTAAAATGCAGAATGTAACTGAACAGCAGCTGCTAGCAAAGACAACAAGGTCAGTAACACTGTAATACATTACATGTTGTATTCACCACTGGTACCCGAGGCTGATGAGAGCCAATCAGGAGAGACCGTGGGTGTCTACATCATCATTTCCAAAGGTCTCAGTTTTTGCCTGTCCAGATATAACACATCCCCAGAGTTTTCAAAATAAAACACAACCCTAGAGTTTTCAAAATAAAACAGGTCCAGCAGAGTTTCCAAAACTCTCATTTTCAGGGCTTGAAAACTCCAGAGTCGTGTGGACAGCAGGAGGAAATGTAGCAAAAGAGATGAGTTTTTAGTTTTGAAACAAAAACGTAGTGTGGACATAGCCTTAGAGCTGTCACCCTCCCAAAACTGCCCACCCTCAATAGAAACTGCCCCGCCCCCCCGGACCCCCCCCCCGACCACCTGAATGCAGTAAATCCCAAATCAACAAAAGAGGCATAAATCATAAAAACCTAATACAACGACTGTCACAGAACCAAACTAGTATTCCCGCCTCACGGTCGTACGCCTCCATCAACAGGTCCAGTTACAGTTAATTAGTGTAAGAATTTGTTCAGTTATGGCCACAGGTCACAGTGACCCTTGACCTTTAACCACCAAAAGGCTTCTGTGATTAACATGTGTCCACTGATTGAGAGCACAGTATAATGGAAGTGAACAACACAATCTTGTTCTTGTTTTACAGTGCAGATGCAGCATCTGCAGTGTGTTACAGAAAACCAACAACACCTTGTGTGTCTCTTTGCAGTGTTCATGTGTACAGTGTGTGTGTGTGTGGACTGTGAGTCTGACCTGCTTCCTCAGGGCCTCGAACGCAGCACTGATGGTGTGGACGCGGGTCCTCTCCCTGGCGTTGGCGAGAAGCCTCCTGGTTTGCTGGATGGCTTTGACCTCCGGAAGACGCCCGGGTCCATCCGAACTCACCCCAACCCGCTTCCTGGGAGAGTCCTGAGAGCAGATGACCAGAGGGGGGCCAGATTATAGAACAAATCCAGTGCTGAGCAGTCACTCATATATATACATATATATATATATATATATATATATATATATATATATGATATGTTGCAGCAAGTCCAGGATGGAAACCAAGAAACAAGGAGGAATACTGTTCAATATCAGACTGGTGCCAGTTAATCAGAACCAGGTCTCTATACATGAACACAGATGCTCTACTGGTTTCCAAACATACCGGCTGTTGTTTGTTTCTAACTGGTCACCAGAATAACCAAATGAGCCTGAAAGTGCATTTACTCCTGGACCTGGACCTATATCCAGAACACAGACTCATGTGCACTTTAACAGTGACTTGAGACTCATTTGGTTTCAAGCCACATTGAAAAGTACTGATTACTAATCATTAATGAGTGTTGCTCGTATCCCTAATTAGCAGACACATTAGATAAATTAGCCCCTAAAGAGGTAGACTGCACAGCAACAACACATTTCAAACTAAGGATAATTTCCATCACTCATATAAAATGAGAGAAAACAGGGAAATCTCACAGCAGTATTTGTACCACTCCACATACTCACCTTTGGAGACTGGACCTGTGGCTCCACGTGTTCGTGACACTGAGAGGTCTGGGAGGTTCTGGGGAGTGGCAGAGCTGCAGCTTGGTCTGACAGAGGTGGCTCTAAGGAGAAGGCCTGGTGGCTGGGTGAGTGGCTGTGGCTGCTGCTGCTGGTGGAGGTTGACAGGGGGAATGTGGAGCGAATGCCCAGTTTGAGTCTGTTGGACAGAGGCTGGGAGATGGCCGTGGGCCAGTGGGAGATCTCCGGGAACTGGGACAATTTGGAAGTGATGGCTGGCACGTTAATACCAATCCTCATGTCAATGGCACCACTCTGAGCTGGAGCCATGTTGGCCTCTGGTAGTCCTGACAGGGTCCCCATGGTTCTAGCTGTCCCCTCTTGTGACATCATCAACTGTCTCTGCAGTGGAGCCAACCTGCCGACATCACACGCCTCCATCTGGGTGTCATCCACTGAGTCCACGTCCGACATGTCCGCCGGGTAGGTTTTTATCCTCTCGGGCTCCACTCCACTGAAGAGTCTTTTAGGTTCTCTGGACTTCCTCTTGAACTTCTTGTTAGTGCCCGGCACAGAGACCAGGACTGGGTCTTTGTTCATGGATCTGTTCCATGTGTCACTCAGTGGATGAGGATTCTTCATTTTCCAACAATGAGTTTAGCCAACAAGTGAAAGTGAAATAAACTTCAACAATTCTAATTTCAAAGTGAGACTGAACGACCAGAATCAACTGAAAGCTAACAAAGAGTTTCACTCACAGTCAGTGTCAGAGTGTCCTCTGTCTGCAGCTTCACCTGCAGGACACATTACAAGAAAACTTGGAAACTTCTTGTCCCAGTCAAACCGTCCACTTATTTATAATGTGCACACACTGAAGCAGAGTGAATGTTGTTCAGTAAGACTCCTGCCTTCCTGCCAGAGCTTCAGCTGCCAACTGTGTAACACAAGCTGTTCAACTGCTCTGACAGAAGCTGCACAGCCGTGTGTTACTTTAACTTCAGCAGCAGGTTTTCTGTGGCTCCGCTCTGTCTGCATAGCAGCATCCTGAATAATCCACAGTAATACACAAAGCTGTGTAACATCTGCTGTTCCTGCACAAGTCGTCCCACTGGATCGAGCTTTCCCTCAGCTGTGAAGGTTTCTCTCTGTGTGAGCAGAGTCAGGGTTACAGTGGAGCTGTCTGAGCGTGGCTCCAGTCAGTCTGCATAGCAGCACTGTGAATAACCCACACTGATACACACACTGAGCACAGACAGGCTGCAGAGGAGCTGCAGCTACTGAACTGAATAAAAGGAACAGCACATGAACAGGATATCAACTCTTCACACTGACAAACACAGACCCAGTGAGCAGTCATGTTCCATACAAACAGCCTGACAACTGCTGTTATACACAAGGAAACTAAATGATGAGATCATGAGTCAATAGATCCCAAACACCCAAACTTCACACTAACACACACTCTTAATACACACACCAAACCGCAGATGACAGTGTTAAAGGGAGATCTGGTCTCGACTATTCCAAGTTCAGAATGTCCCCTTCATGCCGCCTCGGTACCGGGACATCCCTCTGGAAGAAAGCCTTGATACCGGATATCAACGCTGCCACTTAAAGGTGTGCAGCGGGAGATCCTGCTCTCAGTGAGCTGGCTCCACGGGACCCGGTGGCTACAGTGAGTCACTTGTTATACAGATACGGTAACAGTGGATTAGTCCCGCAGCTCCACACCGGTGGATCCTCCAGGTCCTGCTCCTCCGCGACTGTCTCTGCTGGTCTGGAAACGTTAGAGGACGGAGCAGAGAGGGGGCTCCCTCTCCTCTGACTGCTGGCGTCTGACTGGCTGGAGCTGTCTCACACACACACACACACACACACACACACACACACACACACACACACACACACACACGACTCAGCAGCGTCACATCCTGGCGTACAACAGGAACTCACATGCTCGATTGAATTTTCCCAATTACAGATTTTCACAGTTGTGAGCCTCATCTCTCTGAGCTGAGCTCCTCTTCAAACTCTTCTCTTTGTCACATGCAGCTCAACTCAACCACTTACCTCATGTTCTACATGCTCTAATGCAACTACACACTTGATCCAGATCCCAGGATCAGGTCTGGGACCACAGTCTCCAGACAAGATGACTGTGTCTGTCAAAAGACACAGACAACAAGCAGAATCACATTTGATTTTTACATGAACTAAGATTCAATTACAAGAAGAAGTCAAAGATGAGGAAGTAGAAGAAGTCGAAGAAAAGTAGTAGAAGAAGAAGTAGAAGATGAAGATGAGGTCAAAGAAGTAGAAGAAAAGTAGTCCATGTGTTTGTCCCTTTGACTGTGAAGCTGAGAGGCATCCTCACCTGTGCAGGTGCTCTGTTAGAACGGGATCAGCTGTGATTGGTCGTCTCTAGTTTTAGAATAGAGCAAATGTCACATTCAGTCATGTTGTCTCAGGTTGTCTCAGGTTTTAGGTTCAGGGTGGAACAGTGTAGAAACATGTAAAATGTTTGGTTTTCTGTGTTGATTGTATTTATTTATTATTATTTTATTTTCTTCTTCTTCTTCTTGATATTGTGCAACATTTTCAACTGAGTTGAATTGAATGAAAACGTGTAAATCGTCAGAGGTTTGGTGGAGGCTGAGTTTAGTGTCAAAGGTCATCCACAGTTTAGTCACAGAGATGCTGCTGTGCTTGCAGTGTGAAGAAACAATGGCTGCTACTGTAAAATAAAATGATAAAATACATAATAAAACCTAATGGTTAATGGTCACATCATGAAGCTACATGTCCCACATCCTGTTCATAATATAAAACAAGTTTTAGCACCAAGCGGTCTCAGTCCAGACACTGTGGGACATGAACCAGTCACAGCTGTTGTGGTCTGTGTACATTTGGTGGGCCTACATGAGTGGATTGTGTTAATTTAGGGATTATAAAGATAAGGAGCAGTATACAGTCCTGTGGAACTTTGAATGGGACTGATCTGGACTGCAGAGACTGGAGGAGACATGAGTGCAGTGAGTAAGGGGAAGTTTCCATAAATATACGTCTATTAAATACATCTGAACTTTTAAAAAAAAAAGTTCTACTTCCATTTATTTAAATTGGAAAATTTATAAACAAGTTCTTAAATAAAAGAAACAGATAAAATTTTCTCAAAAAAGAAGAACAAAAAAGAACTAATACTTACAAAGAATTTAAGTGGCAGACTTCAGACAAGTATTCTTGTCTTACAAATTAGAGAGACTCAAGGTATCATTCATGATCGATAAGAAACAACTGAAATGAGGGACTTGATTTAAGAAATTTTGCCTTATGAATATAAAATTTCCCTATTAAAATCAGGATGTTATTGCAATATTGCATAAATTGTTTTCCTTACATTCTAAAATTTTTTGTTCCTCAATGTTAATGACACATGTTTTTCATAACTTTCAAAGTCTTTTCAGAAAGTAAAACAATGAGCAGCAGTGGAAAAATTAGTTGTGTTTTCTTGTTCAGTCTCACACAAAGTGCATCAGTATTCATAAATGTTAAAATGTACATGTGTTGGATAATTGTTAGGTCATGTTTTCACATGTATCAGAATCTAAAAGGAACAAGCCATACTTTGCAAAACGTTTGAACTTGGTACGTTGCCTTGAAACCGTCTGACGAACACGTCGTCTCTATGTACGTCACCTGGTTAGGGTGAGGCAACAGCACCATCAAGTGGTGACAGCAGAAAACCGCAAGACAGATTGAATCATTTCATCAACAGAAATAAGAAAGAAGAGGACAGACAAGTTGAAGAAGCTCATTGACAGGAGAGAGGTAAAACTCACGACGAAGGATTAGTGCCACATTTAGGGAAAAAAAGAAATCTGGAATTTCGGGAATAAAGTCGTAATATTACACACTTGATATTTGTGTAGGGCCTGTGTAAAAGCTTAGGGTCGGCGTTGTTCAGTGCTCACACAGCTACATCATCATGGATAAAGCTCCTGAGTGTCAGCCTGAGGAACAATCACCATGACCATACTAAACAAAACCAAAGCACTTTCCCATGAGCAGTGAGGGGGTTTCTTTATTTTTTGGTTAATTGTATGACTTGTAAACAAGTAGGAACTTTTTATATTGTAACTTTTTTGCATTTTATTTTGTTATAATTTCATTTCATATATATATTGTCAATTGGATCGCTTTTACAAAGTAGTTTGAACAACTTTTTCAAAGTAGCTTTAGTAACCAAACTTTTCCCTAGTGTAGCTTTACTGTAGTTCGTCTTCCATTGTAGTCATTGGTAACTTGCAAAACTGTGCTTTCAAAGTAGCTCCCCCAACACTGCTTGTATAATCAGCTACACAGACTGAACACAACCACCCTGACAATATGCTTAAATCTGATATGAAGTCATTCACAAACTACAGTGAGAGCCATCAAATAATCAGACTAGCAATAGTAGTACATGAATGCCAATATAGTAAATGATGCACAACATGCATCAGCAGCAGCTTCTTCTCTGCTGCAGCTGATGTTTCATCATGTGACTTTGTTTTTTTAATAGACGGGGCAGTACAATGTGTAAAATTAAAGTACTTGAGTAAAAGTAAAATGGCTGATTTTTACAGACAGGAGAGTAAATGTAATTAGTCTCTTCCACCGCTGCTTGTTTTGTCCTTTTGATTTTTAGTTTTGTAAATCCTAATCTCTCTCTTTATATCAGATCTAATTTATTCTCAGTTTATGTTCTGTGCGCATCTCCATCATCTCAGTGAGGTTTTTTTCTTGCTTCAATAAATTGTTATAAATTCAAACTTTCCCTCCTGACATCTAATTTCACCTGCAAATAATCCCGAAGAAAAAACATGAGGAACCATGTGATCAGTGTTCCTCCTCACTGTCAGGAGTCCAGTTCAGATGGAGCAAAGTCACTGTTAGGTGCCTGATTTATTTAAAAAAAAACACAATTCAATCAAACGCAGTGTATCTAAAAACAACTGGAATCAGAAACTTCTAAAATATCCACCATTGTTTTTACTAAACTTGGTAAAGCCTCCAAGATGCACAGAGATAAAAACCCGCTGAGGACATGAGCTGCTCAGTGCACCCTCTGTTCGTCACACACCCTGACCACACAAGATGACGACAACACCACACCACACAGGTCTGAAACACTTTTTATTCTGGGTAAGTGTTAATGCTCTACATATCATTTTATGTTCTTGCCCTTCACACACTGACAGAGGACACGGTGAGCTGAGAGTTACAGAGAAGCACCTTAAAAGTTGATAGATTACAGTTAGTTCTGGACATTTTAGATTAGGGTAAAGTATCAGCAGCTCCACAGGTCGGACCGTCGGCAGAATGAGATCATCAGCAAAGAGAGCGCGAGTTTCAGAAGTAAACTGGAACCTAAACTTCAGGTGATACAATAAAGAGGATATGCTTAATAGCTTGCTGGCGCTTCCTGCGTCAGCCAGAGGGGGGCAGGTCAGGATGACCCGGTCATACTCTACTATCAGCAAGTCGTTTCTACTGTACAGCTTGTTAAAGGTAAGGTCCGACAAAAACCTCCAGCTCCAAATATCCAAACATCCCTTCATTACTGTGGATACATTGAGAAAACATTGTTAAGTATGTTCAGCAGATAGTGAGAGCTGCTCAGCTGCAGTCACACACAGCTCAGAGGAAGAAGCTGTGTGTGTGAAAAGTCGTTTAAAAACAGGTTTATTTCTTTTATTGAGATTTTTAGTGTTAAAACCATCCAGTTGACAGAGGGTTCCTCTTCTCTACTCTGTCCAGCTGAGCATCAGTGTGGGCCCGGATCAGGACAATGACACATGACAACAACTGAAAGCTGCCCATGAGCAAGGCATCAGATCCCCCAGTGAACTCACCTGGCAGTCAACCTTGAGTGAACCTTGAGAAATAAAAGCATGCACACCTGTGACTGAGGAGGGTCCATCTACCTTCAGACATGAAACCCTCCATGTAAAACTCATATCAGGTTGTTTCACTAACAAATGTCCATTCTTGGTAAAGGCAGGGGTCAGGCATTAACAGCCACCATGACATGCACCTCCTGATGAGTCTCAGTCCAGTGTTCCCTCTCTTTCTTTGAGCTCTGTGTTTGGTCTCCACCAGCTCCTCTGTAGCTGCTAAATGCTGCACTGTGTTCACAGCTTCTCTGACTGAGTCTGTCTCCTGGTGGACAGGTAGAGGACAGAGACTCGTTGCAGCTGAAAACAGCTGCTGGAGATGATCTTTATAAGAGCAGAGTTTAAATGTAAAGATGCTATGAGCAGCTGCTGAGATGATGACGACTTTCATCATCTGACTCACTGTTAGTATCAAGAACTGATTAAAGAGTGTTTAGTGATGCAGCTGATCACAGTCACTTTAATGCCATTGAATGCTGTGGAGCTAAAATGGATCATATAGCTTCTTAAAACAGATGATTTGTATCAAACACACATCTGTGTTTGTGCATCCTGGTTACACATCAGACTAGCTGTTTAGTAGCAGGAGGTCACTGTGTGAAGCTTCGTGCTGCTGAAAACCTCCCATCAGGTCACTTCTCCACACTGTGACTAGCAGGCTTCACCCTGCATCACCATCTGCATGTGTTGAGTATGGAGTTCAGGTGCTGAGCGATGAGTCACAGCTGAGCTGCTGCACTCTGAGATTTGAATGTCAGCATGAGAGGAGAGGCTAATGACAGTGGTGGGAAATAATCTAAATAAATAGCTGGGTGGTGTAAAGTCAGGTCGACACTTTCAGAACCAGGGTATAAGGGTTTGTAGAGTTTGTACTGGTGATATTTTGGTTGTTGTGCTGACCGGGGGGGGGGGGGGGGGGGGTCAACAGAGAGGCTTTCCTGTCCTGAACTAAATGCTAATTAAAATGCAATCACACACATGGAGGTTTTTTGCATTAATGATGAGTCATGGTCCAGGATGTAGAGGACAGGGTGTTAGCTCAATAAGTCCTCACAGACTCCTCTGACCTCTCAGTCCTGCAGACAGACAGGAAACAGCTTTTTATTGCACTACAAAGTTTAACATGACTACAACTGTGGTTAGTGTGTGACTCTGTGTCGTCTCTATGGTGACTGGCCTCTCACGACCAGCACGTTGCCTTCAACAGGAATGGAAACAAGCTGAATGATGGTTCATGACAACAGCAGCCCTGATCACATCCTCTCACAGAGCCGTCACACCTCCATCGTCCCTGTGATGACACACAGAGCTCGGTGGCTGTGAGCGCTGAGAGCAGAGTGAGCTGTGAGGATGAGGAGGGCTCGGTCAGACCTGTCCGTCAGTCCTGCAGGGGATTTTCAGCAGAGCCGCTCTGAGCTCCTCTCTGCTGCTTCTTCTTGTAGCTGGGCCAGCGACACACGGGGCAGCAGTGTCTGCCTGCGGCCAGCCACACCACGATGCACTGCTGGTGGAAGGCGTGGCCACAGGGCAGAGCCATCAGCAGCTCCTCGCTCACAAAGTTCTCCAGACACACCACACACTCTGAGCACTGCAGCACGCCGCAGGGCCACGCCGACCAATCACAGTGCACCCGGGCGGAGATGGCCTCAGGTGAGGGGTGGCCATCCTCCGATGCCATGTCAACTGATGGTGAGCTTCCGTTCCCATGACAACAGCAGAGGGATGATGCAACAGCAGCAGCAGCAGCAGCAGCAGCACACTGACAGGTTGGGTCCATGTTGCTGTGCACACTCAGCTGTGTGCTGCTGTCCTGACTGCACAGAGACCTCTGGCGCCTTCTGCTGCTGTGTGGAGATGAGCTGGGACCTGAACCCCTCTGGTCCCTGTTCTCTGTGTCTGTATGTGAACTCTCTGTTTCCTCAGGCAACTGTCCACCAGAGCCACCTCCCCTGCGCTGACTTACAGCTCTGAACCTCCAGGTTGGCAGAGCTTTAATGTAGTCCACGTTTACCAACGGGCGAAGCCAGAGATCAGGGAAAGCCAAACGCTCAAACAAGAGGTTGGGATCATCTTCCCAGTCCGACTGGTCTGACGGGACCTGCTGCAGCGATGCGATTGGGTGGAGCAGATAAGAAGTGTACCAGTCCCACAGACTGGCCAGCCACTCCAGGTTGGTGGTGCTGTCCTCTCGGCTCCTGACGCCACAGCGGCGTTTCTTCTCAAAGTAGTCGACCAGCAGGCCGTGGGCCAGGTAGGTGGACAGGAAGAGAGCAGGGTGGGATGAGTAGAAGGTCCAGTCCGCTCTCACCAGGCTGGCCAGGGTGGTGGTGTCAGCGTATCGAAGCAGCTTCAGACTGTAGCCGTACAGAGAGTCCAGATAGGGCAGCTGGAGCAGAGCCTGGAGGGAGGGGGGAGAGATCAGTGATCAATAATTACCACTCAGTCATAATAACGTTAGTCTATGGCTATATACACTCAGTGGCCATTTTATTAGGTACACATTTCTAAAACTAGGTTGCAATACCGTCTCCTTCCTGTCAGCTACAGCCAGTCAAAACACCAACAGTGTGAGATCTGATGTCTGGTCAGAATAACACCTAACCCTCTTCACCACGTCTGCAGGCTTTAATGCACTAACTTAATACCACACTGATGGCTGATTACATGCTTGCATGAATGAGCAGGTGTTCCTTATTAAGTGGCCAGGGCGTATATGAACTTCCAGGGGTGTGTCAGACTCTCCAAATGACTTCAGAGTGCTGGTTTTGTCTAAACCTTTGTAGACTCATTTAAGTCAATCGAGGCTGAGTGTATTTCGGCATTTCCTTTTCACTACATCCCTTTATTTTATCATTAACGTTCATGAGCAGCATCAATAGCATCTGTGAAGTATTGTTGAAGGCTTTGAAATACACTATAACACACTACAATGGAGTAGTGTCCATCCAAACATTTATTAACACTTAGTCACACGCTCTACAAAGATCCATATCATTTTAGTTGCAGACATTTATTCCAGTGGCCTTCAGTACTCAGTGATAGAGCAGCAGTTCATCTAGTGGACACCAAAAAAATATCATGTATATAATCCATAGGCCACAAATGGCTCATTATCTGGCGGTAAATAGTAAAACTACAATTCTGGAGCCAGGACTTCAGAATAAAAGCCTAATAAAATTGAATGTGTGATTTTGTGCTGTGGTTGCAGAGTGATCAAAAAATGCAGTTTAATGGGTTTCAATGGAGATTTTTGTCTGTGTGTAGCTATGTTGTGTTCAAAGGGTTTTACAGAAGTTGAGGTTGAAATTCAAAAAATTAAAACAATACACACCCTTGGCAAAATTGATGCTGTATGCACTGAAAAGAACAAAAATGTTCCTGAGGATGGGCAAATGTTAAAGCACATCTCTGGGACAGGGCCTTCAGACCGGAAAACAACCGGGCTGCTACAGGGGCAGTGAAGGCCACTAAGAGAAACAGCTGCCTGTTCAACACAAAAATAATCTGTTGTCAAGTGAGAGCCGTGTGGTGCAGATGATGTCCTACCAGAACAGGAAGCCAGGACACCAGCAGTATGGAGTTGTAGGTCCCCAGTGTTCGGATCAGAACTACAAATCGTTTCACTGTTGCTCCCTGTCCATGACAATGAACACATGAGTACATGTTAAAAATAAATTCAACAATTAACACAGAACTAACTGTGCGTCCCTCTGCAGCACAATGTACAATGTGTCAGGTAAATGAAGCTGTCAGATCCTTCACAGTAGTACCACAGTGTATCATCAGAACGTGCTTGTATAAATGTTAAAGCTGCTGAAGATGGAGCTAAATGTTAATACTGTGCATGCTGTTGGGTAGCTCATCTTATTTATAATCTGATTTGTTTGCATGCTCCCTGCAGCAACCCACACGAAATCTCCTCTGCAGGTGTGTGAGCAACACTTCACATGTATATAGCTGCACGAGCTCTCGTTTGTGTGGGAGTTACTGTTGCTCCCCATCACTGTAGTGGGCACAGCTGACACATCTACTGCAGCACACAGGAACACAGGGAGGAGGCGACGAATTTGAACTGAGGACCCACACAACTGCAAGGAGTGATGTCATCACATGCACTTAAAGAGCACACACACAGAAGCAGGGGAAAGAGAGTGAGCTGCTAGCCGCTGTGCAAAGTGGTAGTACAGATCTGTCACATTTCATCCTCAGGTTGGAGCTACTCTAAAAGTGTCAGAGCTTCTGTGTGAGAAGCTTCAATCAGCGATTGTGTGTTTTTAAACCTTATTTTGGGGCTGTGTTCACTCTTTCATCCATTGTAGCAGTGTAGCTGCTGTGTTTCTGGTTCAACAGCACAGTGCTAGACAGGTGACAGGTGTGTTTATTGTGTCTTTGCTCTGAGAGAAGTCACAGCAGGAAAAGAAGTGAAAATTAGCGAGTTCACCCGGGTGTTTATACTACTGCTGATCAGAGCCGACAAGTCATTTGACCCAGGTGCCCGATGTTAGCGGGTCTTTTGACCAGATGAAAAGTTAAACTTTAGTTAAAAACTTCAGGCCGTTCTCTGGTGTTTAGCAGTCACAGCCTGACTACTGCTCACATCACACTGCTCAGCCCAAGGGAGCTGAACAGTTCTGACTCTGTTTAATCAGGACACTTTAATGGACATGGATTAGACAGGTATCCCAGAATGCATTTCACACAAACCAGTGGTGAGGGTGGAGATTTTGAGCTAATAAGGTTTTCATCCTGCAGCTCTATCTGGGTCACTTTATTAAATGTGGATATTTTTTCACATGAAAAAACATTTCGATTTATAACTGTGATCAGTTTATTACTATGTCAGAGATGTGAGGATGCTCAGTCATCTCAATTCAACAGAAATCAATAAATATATCGAAATGAAAATGCAGTGAGTGTGGTCTATATTAAACTTTGTTTCTTTACACATTGACAACAGGTGTATCATCTGACCGCGTCTCTCCATCACTGAGAAAACCCTCTTTAGTTTAGATCAGTGAGAGCAGTGCGGTCAGGTCAAGGTGTGTTGAGCTCCTAATGTTCACGACTGAGAAAGACCTAGTTGCTGTAGAGGCAATGTACAGTACAAGTGCTGGTTCTACTTGTGTGTATATTATGGTTATATGATTATCTGTGTGTTTTGGAAACAGGTAGAAAAGGAATTGATTGGGTCAGGGCTGCTACAGACCAATGAGCCAATCATCAACAAGGAGCCTGGTGCAGTTAGCGTGACCACCACAGTTCAGCCACGGGTCGGTCAGCCTGTGAGCCAGCTGCAGAAAGCATACAGCCAGCTCAATACTCCCCTTTTCACATGAGTGTAATGGAAGAACAGGTGTGACCTGTGTAATGAAGAGGTCCATCCAGGCCAACAGGTTGATGAGAACCAGACTGAGGACAAACAGGTCATTGACCTCCGGCTGGACAGAACGCAGGAAGGTGTCCATGGCAGCCAGGGACAGGAACTCCCCCGTACTGCAGAAGACACAGAAATCAGTGTTGTCTGAATTAACAATAACGCTTTCATCATGTCCATGCTCAATCGTCACCTGTTGCCATAGCGATAGATGCCCTCAGGCATCTTGAGGATATAGGCGGGGCTCTGTGTCACGCCGATCTCTGTCAGGCTGCTGTGGTTGTCCCAGTGACGCACGTCCACAAAGATGAATTCGATCCTGCCCGTGAACTTGACAGACAGTGAGGAGAAGAAGGCGGGGGGCTGGGACAGGTGGGCGAACAAAAACATCTTGACCGGGTGGGCCGGGTCTGAGCGCCACTCCTCCACCAGCTGCTCAGACCGGCGCAGCGTTTTGATTCGATTAGCCACATGTGAGGTCATCCAGCGGAAGATGTGCTCGGTTTCGATGCGGCGGCCATTGTATTCCTTCAGCATGACTTTGCCCTTCGACGCTGACGTCTGAGGAACAGACATGATGAGCGTGGAGCGCTGCCAGCCGCGCTTGATACATGACCTAGTGACAGAACACAGAGTCAGCATCACACACTCATGATGGAGGCAGAGGAAACTGACAAGCGCTGAAGGTTCTCTACAGGGTTTCTGCACCAAATTAACTTCTCAGATATCTTAATCAATAATTCTTAGTAATATAATTACTCAAATCATGTGACCTGAACACAGGCAGGAGACCTCCTGACCCCTCAGGCTCCTGGGCCAGAGTCTCTGTGTGAAGTAACTGTTAATATTTCTTGTTTGAGTCCCATTATAAAACCACAAAGTAACAAAACATGGTTTCAATCTGTCCATGCCTGGACCAGGATTAGTTGCATGTATGAGTGGATCAGCTTAACAACTGTCTCCTGACAGGCAAGAAAAAAAATTCAGTGCTTCTTAAAGCTCCATATTTTCCTCTTCTTCTGTGTTTTATTTGAAGTGTTGATCCATAAGAAGATATATTTGTGGTTTTAAGAACCAAAAACCATCTCAATGTAGTTTTACATCTCCTCTCTCAGGCTTCTCTCTGGAGCTCTAGTAACAACAGCTCAGTGAGCCAATCAAAAGAGAGGCTTAGAGCCCCTTCTCTTCTGTTACTGTTTTCTGAGTGATCCAATAAAAATATAGATTTCAGGTAATCCTGCATGGTTCGATGGTTGCTCCAGGTGGGCAGGGCTTGAGAGCATTGACTGTTTTGTTGTGACATCACAAAGTTCCAGAAGTCCTAACAGCTGGTTTTAAGACTCAGTTTCTGAATATAGGCTGTGTGCATTTCTCTGTGGACTGAGTGCTTTGAGACTTTCACAGTATTAATATAGAACTTAGACTTGCTTTATAATGAAACAACACATGGACATCTACCTTTACCTACCCATACTATATGAACCTTTAAGATGTTTCAAGGCCTGCAGGTACCCTGTTTTTAACTTGTCCTTTTGGACCAGCAGCACACTGTCCTGTTTACTGCAGTGTTCACACACTGTTCAGTTCATCATCATGGTAGCAAAGTAGCTCTCACACACTGTTTATAGTTTGTCACTTAGGTCATCATCTATTTAAAACCCACAGTTAAACAGTGATATCACTTCCTTCTTCAGTCTGATGAGCATACCTTAAACAGTAGCTGGTGCTGTTTATGATACTTTTGTAAATAATTCACAGTCTATGTGGTCTAACTCTAACCCCTGTGAAGTCAGTAGGGTTTGTCTAAGCTACTCTAAGAAACGATGTACAACAACAAACCTTCACTCAGTTTCACCAGAACCTCGCAGGTTTCACTGATCAGTGGTGTCACCGATCTGATTTGACTCTGCGGTGTTTTTGTGTTTTATCATGACATTCTGTCCTCCTTATTCTCTACTGGCACTATTAGAAAGAGCATCACACGGACATAAAGGCTGAATAACTGTCTGACATCACTCCACATTCATAGGTAAGTAAGTTTCTTTTAACATCAGATGGCTAAAGTGAAACTGCAGTCAATTCCTCTCTGACAGGAAGCAGTACTCATTTATGGCCACACACCTGTGTGAGCTGCTGCTGCAGTGACAAAGCTGCCTAACTAGTGTCTACTGCTAACCTGCACGCAAGGTGTTCAGAACATCTGTAAGTTGTAGCATCTACTGATAGTCTGTATGTGAGGCATTTAGGAAACATCGGTCAACTATAGTCTCTACTGATAGTGTGCACGTGAGGCATTTAGGGAACATTGGTCAATTGTAGCATCTACTAATGTTATGCATGTGAGGCGTTTAAGGAACATTTGCAAATTGTAGCATCTACTGTTTATCTGCATGTGAGGCGTTTACGGAACATATGTAAATTGTACTGTCTACTATTAGTATGCATATGAGGCATTCAGGGAACATCTGTAAATTGTACCGTCTACTGATGGTATGCATGCAAGGAGTTTAGGGAACATCTGTAAACTGTAGTGTCTACTGATAGTCTGTATGCAAGGTGTTTAGGGAACATCTGTAAACTGTAGTGTCTACTGATAGTCTGTATGCTAGGTGTTTAGGGAACATCTGTAAACTGTAGTGTCTACTAATAGTCTGTATGCTAGGTGTTTAGGGAACATCTGTAAACTGTAGTGTCTGCTAATAGTCTGCATGCAAGGTGTTTAGGGAACATCTGTAAACTGTAGCTACAGAAAATAATGGGTTACACTCTGCCCCTCTAAACTGCACGAGTCTCTGCATGCACATTGATCACTCAGTGAACCACTCACCACAACAAAGAAATTCTCAGTCTGTGGGAAACAATGGACATGAATAAAAAGTGCAGATGCAGTTTGAAGAAGACCTGCTGCTCACCTGTAGTCATTAGAGCAGTTGAAGGTTCCAGTTCGGATCCCAAACTGAGACACTTTCTGCACCATCTTCCCCCAGTTGGACTGACTGAGAAGAGCATCCCGGTCCTGGGCAATGACCTGCAAGTGCACACAGGGACAGGACAGGGTCAGTCAGGTAATACACAACCAATGTGTCAGTGGACAAGAAACTCCTGCTGACAGTGTAGGTGAAGTCGTAACCTCCTTTCCTTAGTACTTTATATGTGCCTCATTTATGTATTTGTATGTGTGTGTGCTCCATGTAGAAACACACTCTTCAAACAGGTGATTGCCCCTGCCCCCCTGTCGTACGACTTAGTATCACCCCCACCGAATCTTCGGCCAGGAAAAAACCTGCATTTGTAACTGATGGGAGCGCAAACCTCCCTGACGGTTGATATACGCCACTGCCATCGTATTGTCCGTCCTCACTAAGAAATGATGACCCATGAATGAAGGAAGGAAATGTTTCAGGGAGAGAAATGCTGCCGAGAGCTCTAGAAAGTTTAAGTGAGATCGTTAGAGACCCTTGCTCCAGCAGCCTCTCACAGACCGGCCCTCATGTATACCGCCCCAGCCTGACAGACTTGCGTCTGTGGTGACTACTTTCCTGGACAGGACGGAGCCCATGGGCACGCCTCAGGTCAGGAAATATGGGGCTCTCCAGTGACGCAGCACCATAACACCCTCCGATGTGACCAACACTCTCCACGCGCCATGATGCATTGGATCCAGTCTGTGGGAAGCAACCCAACGCTGGAATTAGGCCGAGACGGATTACCAGGATGGCTGAAGCCATCAGACCAAATAGTCAAAGACATGATGTAAATTTAACAGATTTGCGTGGACGTAAGAGTGCGAGACACGCTCTGAAAGACTGTATTCACGCCGCCGAGAGGCGAGCTGTGTGCTTTCCCCTTGGCCTGGACCACACAGCGTTGAAGAAGGAGGCATAAGTCAGAGATGACCGTCACATGTCTCCGCTTGATACACTGTGAGGAGCGAGAGAACATTGAGTCCCCTGGCTGAAAGTGCTGTTGCCTTATAAGCCTTCTTGGTCAGGGCTGACTGAAACCGGTCCGACTTACAGGGCAGCGGAGGACTTTGGGATGACACTGACATCTTGAGTAGCAGCTCCGGGGAGACTGGAAGAAGTTGTCTCATCACGCTCTTAGCTGGGGGCAATATCTTCCCCTCATAATGGGATCTGGTGATCTCTGTTACGACAGCGGGCCAGGGGATGTCCAGCTTCTCCGCTGTGCATTTGCACACATCCAAGAGATCTGTGGGGAGAGGAGAAGTTGGCGTGCTTCTCTCTTCCCCATCCCCAGGAGCGACAAAGGGCCCAGTGATTTGCAGCTCCGGGTGTGATGAAGAAATCGTCCTCCCCTTTGTCCTTTGATATTAGGATATCTGAGGTCTCATCTTCATCTTTCCCAAAGTCCAGTTCTAGGACGTCTTCCTCATGAGAGGGACCCAGAGCTAGCTCGGACTGGGAACCCCAGCTGATGCTAGCCTCAGGTGCCTCTTGCACTGCGACTTCCTCCTCCTCTGCGGGCTCGACAGCGTGGTCGCCGGTTGGGAGATAGGGGTCATGGCATGGCGTGCTAACCGTTGGTAAAAAACACCGAATCCAATCTGGTGTGACTGGAGAAGAGCAAAGTTAGCTAGCGTCCGGCTACAGAGCTAGGTAAGTCTGTGGACAGTTAAACTAGCTAACCTTGATGCGAGATATGTTCCGGGTGAGAAGAGGTTTTTGAATGGCACTGTGTCTGCCGAACGTAGTATTTATGGTAGGTGGCACTACCGGGTGCAAACGGATACGTTCAGCAGCCAATCAGGATTGGCGTAGTGAGATAAGTGCTTCATAGGGTTGCAGTGAGGCTTGCTCCCATAGTGAGCCATCGAACAGAATATTATAAAGTATGAGCTGCCTGATCAACAAAGCGCAGAAGGCCTACATTTTGCACTTGTGATTGTTTAACACGGACACTCTCATTAGCATCTGAGCTTAATGAATCTGTGTATTTTACCAACCTTGACGTTGCGCACAAATAATTTTTCACATTCACACAAAATTCAACACTAGAAGGCTGAGGAAGACAAGACACAGCTGAGATCAGTAAAGTAGAGTCCAGTAGAGTCCGGTAGAGTTCAGTAGAGTGAGCATGCCCAGACTGGCTCTGATACTGATCCCCTGTATGAGCTCTGCTGCTCCACTCCCTGTGTGTTAGTAAATACAGTCTGTGATGTGTGTGTAATCAACGCTCACACCTGTGATGTACATGTACACCTGTATTAAAGAGGTTCTCCAGGGGTTCAGTGGAGCTCTTCCTTAAAGCCTCAGAGACACATTAACAGAACAGTCAAGACCAGGACAGGAAACAGAGACATCAGAGCAGGAGACATCGTGGCTCATCTATGATCAACAAGGTGAATGCAGAGACATAAAGAATGATAATAGGCGACCTGATTTCCCATTATCCTGCTCCCCCACATTCACTGTTATTCAGTGTGTTTACCTGAACCAGCCAGATCCCGTCTTTAGTGTCCTCCACTAACTCATAGAAGTGCATCTCTCCACTGAAGTGTGTGGTGCTGGAGTCTCCGGCCTCCGTTTGCTCCTTTTCCTTCTTGAGGGCAGAGTACAGCTCCCCTTGTGTCAGTTCTCCTGTGGAGGAGGAGGGGATTTATCTACTAAAACCCAGTCCTCAAGTTTAGTTACATTTTCTACCAAAACTGAAGTGTAATGCAAACATTTCCTCTTGGAAGTAAGTATAACATTTACCAGCCACACTGCACTTTACCTGACACTTTGTCTCCATGTTAGGGCTGTTGATTATGGCAAAAACCGTAATCAGGATTATTTAACACAATTACTCACTGACTTTGGAAACACCACGCATTTATTTAACTTTAAGAGAAAATGATTTAACAGTGGACTGTCTTGAACTTTAAATACAATTCAATAAAAGAAACAAATAAAAAAATTAATTTAAAAAATTAGACAAATAAATAAAATAATATATAATATCTAAATATATACAATCAAATATATTATATAAGAGTAATAAAAATAAATTAAATCAAATTAAATAAGATCAACTATGCTGTATCATTAGTGTACTTCCACAGCCAACTAAAAACTACTACATATAGCAGTAGGAAGTGGATGGGCGAATGGTTTTTGTAGGAGTGGTGAAATTTGTTGTGAAACAGAATGCAGCACAATAATCGTTTTATCTTGATTATCTTATTTTCAGAATTGTTAGAAGACAAAATCATAATCGAAAATAAAATTAGATTAATCGCCCAGCCCTACTCCATATATACAATCCTTCCAAGTTTTCATTTGAGCTCATGCAGCACACCTTACATTTACATTGACTCATTGGACAGATGCTTTTATCCAAAGTGACTTACAAGTGGTTATTTGACGTAACAATTAAATAAGCAGATGGGCTGCACAGATCTTTACCGTGGTCACTGAGACCATGGCTTCAGGTTCATGACTGACAGCTGGAACACAGCGAATGAAGACTATACCACCCACTGTGGTTATGTCAATTATATGTACATCATCAGTGTGACACTAACCCAGGACTCATCATTGTGATCTAAAAAGTGAAGCTGCAACTAAAACTTATTTTCATGATTGACTGATCTGACCTTTGTTTGCTTCATTAATCGTTTGGCCTGTAAAACATCAGAAAATGTTAAAACACGTCTGTGACAGGGTTAGGATTAACCCTAACCCAACATGATGTCATCACATCTTATTTGCTTACTATCAGACAGCGGTGTTTCCAAACATTTAGGCTCCTGTAATAAAGCAGTGCCTTCTATGTCACAGGTCATTAAGATCAATAATTTAACCTCTAAACCTGTCATTTGTCTCATCTGAAAACATACTGACATTAAAACTGTCTGTTTCTTCACAACAGAAGCAGAAACACAGTGTGTATTTGTTTTTTAAAGCGCCATATTTTCCTCTTCTTCTGTGTTTTATTTGAAGTGTTGATCCATAAGAAAATATATTTGCAGTTTTAAGAACTTAAAACCAGCTCAGTGTAGTTTTACATCTCCTCTCTCAGGCCTGGAGCTCTAGTAACAACAGGTCGGTGAGCCAATCAGTGGAGGGGACACTCTGAGACTCTCTTCCAATTGGCTGTTTTCTGAGTGATCCAATTAAAGTATAGCAGATTTTGGGGAAACACTCAAAAAACTAAATCCTGCAAGGTTGGATGGTAGCTCCAGGTGGGCGGGGCTTAGACCATGGCTAAGAGCAGTGACTGCTCTGTTGACATCACAAAGTTCCAGAAGTACTGACAGCTGGTTTTAAGGCTAAGTTTCTGAATACAGACTGTGTGCATTTCTCTGCAAACTTAGGGCTTTTGTACTTATTTACAATATACTAGTATACAATAAGGGACCTTTAACATAACCCATGATGCATTTCATGATCATCTTAGATTCATTCAAAGGAGGGTTGTGACCCCTAGGATGAATCACTGACATAAAACTGGAACTAGAGAATATTTAGTATTTTTGTTTTAAAATTCACAAAATCAATTAATCAATTATTGTTTATCTGGTAATTGACTAATTGATAAAATGCTTCAGCTACACAGTCCTGTTCTGGACGAGGAGTCCGGGGCCCTGACCGTTACCTGACTTCTCCACCAGCTCGCTGACGTCCTTCTTCTCGGCCAGTCCGGAGTACCCGAGCCCCCGACACTCCAGGATGGTCTTCAGCCTCTTGTAGCTGAGAGTGACCGGATCCACCAGCTGAGTAGCGAACACGCCGGTCTCGTACCAGACCACCGCCTCAAAGATCCGCGCCAGCATGAACAGGACCACGAAGTACAGCAGTAGGAAGAACAGTTTGAGCCACATCTTCCAGCTGGACCGAGCTGGACGGAGGTGGACTGAGCTGGAGCTGGGCTGAGCCGGGTCAGGAGAGGCTGTCAGTCTCTGTCTACTCTCCGAGTCCGTCAGACCCTCATGTTTGACCGGGCTGTGCTGCGGACGTTTCCTGACTGTCTACCTACGGTCTGTATACGGTCATGGATTCTGTTGACGGTGACAGCTAGTTCACTTAGCTTAGCATCGCAGGTAGGCCCGCTGCTGTACCGGCCACAACACAGGGGCCTCGTCCTGCTGAGCTCAAGTGTCAGCTGCACGCGCCGCAATTTCGCGCCGACGGTGAGCAGCAGGTGATGTCCAGGTGATGTCCAGGTCTTCTTCACACCGTCACAAAACAACAGGGATGACGATCTGACCTGCTGCGATCAGCTGCTGTACACAGAAGCGCTGACGTCACATCCGGCTCCACCTCGCACTTGTAAACAAGCTACAGAGTAAAAGTCACTTTAAAAAAAAAACTTTTTACTTTTTATTATTATTAATTTTCATCATCCTTTGTTGGAATTTTGATTTATTTGTATAAGTTGGTTAGCACTAGAGAAAAACAATTCTAAAAAACTTTTTTTTAATTCAGAAAAACAGGATTTTTTAAAGAAAACTTTTCTCAGTTTCATATAATTACCTCGGTAATAAATAAAAAACAGAACAGTAATTCTGTTTTTACTTTTATTTTCTTAAATAAAATGATTCTCTAAAAAAATTATTTTTCAAATTTAAATAAATGAAAAGAAATATCTTGCTTTTCCAGACCTGTTCTGTCTGACAACAGAAAGATGGCTCAGTGACAGCACAGGGGCCATGAGCGCTGATCAATACGCACAATACATGTGCAGAACATGTCAGCTGCAGATATGAAGACAGTATAAGGGAATGTAGCGAAACAAAGAGTTAGGTAGATTAACATGATCTGTAAGGTCCTGTAATGTAAACAGACCTTCATCAATGTCCATCAATATATTTTAAAGAAAGGACACATGTTACTGCAGTCATTATATACAATCAAATAAACAACAATAAGACCTGGTAAGTGGTAAGAAAAAGTGACAAATGTAAAAATATATTTAGTAGCTGCTGATCAGAGCTGCTCAATGTTCAGGAGGAAGTTTGGACCATTCTTCTTATAGAGCTGCTTCAGTCAGACAGATTCTCAGGATGTCTGGTGTGGGCGAGTCTCTTCAGGTCTGGGTTCTGACTGGACCACTCCAAAAGGTGGATTTACTTTGATGTTTAAGGTCATTGTTCTGCTGCATCAGCAGCTTCTCCTCAGCTTCAGCAGGTGGACAGACACCCTGACATGATCCTGGAAGAGACCTTGATAAACTTGATGATGTGGAGCTGTCCAGGTCCAGAGGCAGCAGAGACCCAGATCCTGATGCTCCCTCCACCCTGCTCCACCTGGAGGATGTTTTCATGTTTCATTCTGTGTGGAGCTTCTGGAGTCGTCTCAGCTGAACGTCCTCTTCACTGAATCATGTCCATCTATAGACAGTCTGTGTGACTGTGGACTGATGAAGATCTGAACTCTGAGACTCTTTCAGCTTCATGCTCATCATCTCTTCTTCATCCTCAGTCTCTGAGATCTTTGTTGTGAGGCCTGGTTCACATCAGCTGATGTTTCTCTAAATGTCTGAGTGTTGGTTAGAAGTCTGGTTTCACTGACTGACTCCAGGTCTGATAACTCCTGACTCCACTCTGGAGAGAGAGGTTGAATGGTGAATGTTTGAACAGGAACAACACAATCATTTGTGTTATTGGTTAAAAGAGATTGTGATGATTCATTATTGTGACTTGGAAGATCTGATCAGATTTTAGGACAAATTTATATAGAAATGCAGATAATTCCAATATGAAAGGTGGTAGAGTTCAGTAAAGAAAATATTTTATATTCCTATAACTGATCAAATACAATAAAACTCCAAGGTTATTAGTGGGGCAGTGACTCCAGAGATGTTTCCAGACATAATGAGAAAACTGCTTGGAATATAAATTTGCATCTGATATGATTTTTCGTCTGAGAGTTCAATCACCTTGTTAAAATCACATCTTCTCCTCCATCATTCAAAAATCCACAATATGAAAATTCTAATATTCTTCATTTCAAAAGTTGAACTACTAGTCAGCAGATGTCTCCTCCTCCACCCTGTCAGATCCAGGTTCAGGTTTCCACATCACACAGGTGGAAGTTGCACATTGGACCATGACTGGCCTCCACTGTAGTTGTGATGTCACAAAATAACATCATGCGTCTTAAAAATGTACCAATGGTTTTCTGTTGCCAGTTTTGGAGGTGAACATCTGAACAAACACTCTTCTTCCATCACAGCACCAACACATACACTGTGAATGACGTTCACTGACTTCAGATGCTGCTTGTTGTTATGTCTTTTAATTTTCACATTAATCATGTGAGTGCTTAAATCTTATGTGAGTGACAGGACTCTCTGTGTTTGTAGGGACCAGGTCTGGGTCCCACAGGAACCTGTTCTTAGAAACACCAGATCAGCAGCCAGTGTGTGTTTTCCTAAACTGGTCATTGCCACTGGTCAACACAACAGCATGTTGGTGGACTGGCTCGGAGTAGCTGTTCCCTCAGGTGGACTGGTGCTGGGCAGTAATTACAGATCCAGCCTTTTCTTCACATGTATCCTCTTTATTCTTTACTGTGCATTTGATCATTTGTCTTTAAGGCAAAGGACACATACATAAGTCACAACAGCAGGTTTATTCTGTTAATTATTTTAATGCAAATTTGAAAACAGTCAGATTGTCGTCAGCAGGAGAATGTGTTCAGTGGGAGTTCAGAGGATCAGACTAAGACTGGAGCCATAGTCGGTGTCAGGTGATCAGCAGAGACTCTCCACTGTCTACATGACTTGGTTCATCAGGGTGTACGACCTGCAGGTCTCAGATAAGATCAAGAGTGCTCTCTGAAACAGCTGTTTCTGTATGCAAACACACACTGCAGTGTTTCCCACACATTCATTTATCAACATTAACCACCACATATTGATATTCTATTTTTTTTTACATTTCAAATGGGTAAAATCTTATTTCATTGTAGAGCAGCTCAGCATCTCTCTCTCTTTCTGTGTTCAGGTAATCCTGTGCTCCAAACTGACCTTGAGGCTCCAGGTCTGATGCGTGCAGTTAAGACACGTTCCGAACTGCCATCCAACCAATACAACAAAGAAATCCAAAACCACATCCACATCCCTGTTTATCCAGAGTCATAGAAAATATGAACTATTTGTGTGAAATTTTGTCATAATTGCTGTGAAGTCTTGAGTAATGACTAAAAAGTGTTTTGTGAGGTCACCGTGACCTTTGACCACCAAAATCTAATCAGTTCGTCTTCATGTCCAAGGGAATGTTTGTGCCAATTTGTGACATTCCCTTCAGGAGTTCTCAAGATACTGCTTTTTAAAAGGCCAAAATCATGTTTTGTGAGGTATTGTGCCCCCCCCCCCCCGAGCTATTCTCACAATACATTCTGATTGAGTGGGAAACACTGCAGTTTCTTTCCTTACAGAGTAACTGATTGTATTCTATATTTATTATGACAAGAGAAAAACCAGCAGAAGAAGTACTTGGTGATTTCCCTCCTCTGTCTGTGGCTCTCTGCTCTGAACTCATTGGTTCCTGCTGACGACTTGAAGCTTTAAAAACACCACAAATACAGTTTGACTTTAAAGAAAACACTCATTTCCTCAAACAGCTGATCACTAGTTTTGAAACAAACAGGAGGTAAGAGTGCACCTTTTTGGGGCTACTTCACATTTATCCACATTTGGTGCTGTACTGAGTATTTGGGGCAGTGGACGGTGTGTGTGAGTTTAAATTAACTACAGTGCATGTTCATGGTGATGAAGGAACATTTCACTGATGTGTTTTAATAGATCAACATTTTATTTTGTCTAAAACTTTGTATTATGACCAAATATAAACTAATGACCACAGTTAAAATCAGAGGAATCTGATACATCAGGCTTTCTCACTCTCTCTCTCTCTCACACTCACTCACTCACTCACTCTCACTCACTCACTGTGGTTAACGCTGCACATGGGATTTGTTGACAATAAGAAAAATAGAGATTTTTACTTGTCTTTTCATTCTGAAGAAAGGGTCATTTTACAGACGTGAGCTTCCATATACTAGAGTGCTCTGGTTTTAAAACCCACAGAAACCTGAGCACCTTAATTTAAAAAAACAAACTTTTAGGTCCTAATAACAACAGCTTTTTCAGTCAGCAGGAATAAAGTCATTAGATTCTTATGTACAAAATTTGTACAAATGTATAGGTATAAAAAAATCAAGCTACTGAAACTTCGACCATGTATTTGCAGGTAGTGTGGTGGATGATGAACAGCCTGGTCAGGACTAAGAAGGTCGGCTGCGTCAGTGGCACAAACATCATCGTGGAAATGGAACAACAACATGGCACGGTTAACTGGAGGATTAGTAAGGGTCAAAGAAAAAACATGACAGCACTTTTTCAACAAAAACAAAACCCAAACAAAACTAGAGGAGCAGTCAGAGAGTGCAGACCTCTGTCAAGGCCAGCATCAAACAACACACACCAGACTCCAGAGAAAAAATTCTAAGTCAGAGTAAATGATCTGGATCTTCCCCAAATGTAATGGGTTCTTCCCTGGTCCATGACACACCCCTCCACCAAGTCTGGTGTAAATCTGATCAGGACTTGTGTGTAGTCCTGCTGGCTGACAGACAGACAGGTGCAAACAGCACCTGCTCAGCAGAGGTAACAAACTGGCTTTCTGTCTGTAGGGAGGAGGGGTGGTTTCTGCATGACCTGCACTGGTCAATGATCATACCTGGGTCACCCCCCCCCCACCTGTGAACCAGCTCCTCCTCTATTTTAATCCAGAGCCTCATCCTTGGATCTTAAATCAGATCTCTGAGCTTCTTGTAGTTGCTAATACTTTATTTTTCAGTCGGCCCAGTGTAAAACCTTTCTTCTGTGTGAACTTGGAGAATGTTTTTGATAATCTGACAGATGGAGACATGCTGACAACAACACACAGGCCTGTTTAGGAACCAACATGACAACAGAACAAATGAAGCCTTCAGGAGAGAAAGACTCTGTAAAAGCTCATCAGATGGTCTGTTGTAATGTCAGCTACAGGTCGGTGCTGTTGTTCTGTTTTTATGTTATATTTGTTCACATTCATTCAGACTATATCAGCTGTGATCAGCTCCTGTCTGATGTTCAGACAGCTATCACTGGATCACTGTGATACTGAAGAGAACTTAAAAACAGCAGGATTCTCTTTGTTCTTCTGGAGGTTTATTGTGAAGGGACATCAGAGATGACATCCTCAGGAAGTGAAATCACATTGAATCCGATCAACATGTGTTTCATGTCTGTGTCTTCAGATCTGACTCAGGACTTTCGTTTATAATTTCACTTCATATCACACATTAATTAAAGATCAACTTCATCATAAACATTACATTGTTAGTGAGCCAGAACTTTTCCTTTAAATGATAAAATATATAAACCGAATTCTGATCAATATTTCATCAGCACCGTCTCTCTGATATCAAGCCTGAATATAGAGTCCTTTTCACCTGAACCACACTAACGAGGCTGTAACTGATTAAATGATCATCAAACAGCATTAAAGATCAGCAGAACAGAGTGTCAGTAGGTTTCAATATCTTCTAATACTGTTAATATATCAAAGAGAGTGATTTCAGTGTTTGTGTGTGAAGTTGCTGCAGTGATACAGACAGTGCTGTCAGCTGCACAGAGACTAGAGTGTGTTAACTACAGTGGGGTGCAGAGGTCTGGGACCACTTTGTGGACCCCCCCTGCACCCAGAGGTGAGCATCCACCTCCATGTCTGAGCTCTGTGCTACTGTCTGTATCACTGCCTCCATCTCCACAGCAACAACATGTAGATGCATATTCATTAGGGATTTGATCATCTATGGTTAATTGTGGGAGTGTTGTGGGCAGAGCATGAGGCTGCACATTTTCAACTTGATTGTAATTAAAAGGGAAATTGTGTGGAGGTGTGTGAGCGCACAGGTTCACTTTTAGTCTGGATCCTACACGGTTTTATAAATGAAGCCCCTGACCCCGTCACCTCAACAAGGTTAAAGTTCAGGTTATTTGAGGTGAGGCTGTGTGAGGTACTGATCTATAGTCAGTGTGTTACCTGCAGTAGATTCAGTTCAGAGAAGCAGCAGGAGCTCCAGCACAGAAGCAGAGTGATGAGCTGCTGTGGACAGGCTCAGCAGAGAAACATTTATTTTAGCCACTTAAAGAATACCAACAGAAAAGCTGATATCAGTTGAAGTGTTGCTTTATTTTGAATATTTTCGCACTGTATCTGCCGTCAAACAGACCATTACTTTGGAACTACATTTTTCAGCTGCTGAAATGCTGTATTCCTATGCACAAGTGAGCCTACGTTTGGCTGTGTCTGACTCAAACAGCTCAGCTGCGGAGTAATACATTGCACGGCCTAGGTGAACTTGTGTGTAGGAATATGGCAGTTCAACAGTTCACAAACTGTAGTTCCAAAGTAAAGGTCTGTTCGACGGCAGACTGGTGAAAATATTCAAAATAAAACATTTCAACTGACATTAACTTTTTTCTGTGGGCATTTTTTAGATGATCTAAAACAGGTTTTTTCTGCTGACCTCATCCCCATCACTCAGCTTTTGTGCTGGTGCTCCTGCTGCTTCTCTAAACAGCTGATCTGAATCTAATGCAGGTAACACACAACCCTATGTCAAATAACCGGAACCATCATTTTAACATGTCGTTCACGTCGATGAGTTAAATTACTCAGGATGAAGATCCCCCCCACCCCCTCGTGATTTTTGTTCTGTCTGAGGCTTTACAGTGCATTGTCACAGCAGGAGAAGCACAGGTGGAATCAATAACATAAATAACAGCTGCCTTCCATTGAGATCAGCCAGTTCAGGCTCTGTTCACCGCCATGGCTTAATGGAACAGAGCCAATGTTACTGTTATTTGTTCCACCTGATCTTCCTGGTGTGACAAGTCCATGTGTCAGCTGTGAAAGAGGAAAATAGTTCCCACTGTCAGATAGATGACAAAGGCTGCAGGAAGCAGCTTCAGCAGGTGTTTACAGGACCGTCCCACTGGTTTCACATGTTAACATCCAGTTCACTACAAATCACTGACAATTTACATCACAGCTGACCAAACCATGTTCCCACTGTCCCACACAGCCACTGGCTTCCATTCATTTCTGCAAAATATGAAAATATGTGATTTAGAGTGAACATTTCACATAAATCTGCAGTTAAGACCCAAGAGTCTGCCTTCTCAGAACACAAGGAAAAACAGGTGGCTCTGAACTATGGTCAGCAAAACAAAATTTCCCACTGTGAATGATTTGCAAGTTAAGATGCTAACGGCTGACATTTCCTTGTCATCAGTATTGTACTGATGTTTATCATATACCATAATAATCTCTGGTGTGTAGAAACTGCTCAGTGTGATATCAAAGGGACAGTCTGTGTCCTGTCAGGTGGAACATTCATGACTCATCAGGATGGACATGTCCAGCCTGCTGGTGTGGACCAGTGAACCAGTGAAAACCATCAGCTTACCAAAGTGAATGTAGAGGCCTGAGTGTGCTGGCAGGAACCTTCAGAACATGTTTGTTTGTTTGTTTGGGGGCACCATGGCATACAGCCCTCCCTCTGCAGAGGCAGATGTAAAGAACCAGACAGTGACTGTGTCAGCTGACCTTTATCTGAGAAGAGCCTGTACAGCTCAGACACGTCATGTTTCAGCAGGAGACATCTTCACTGCCATACTTGATGCTGAGGCCTCTGGTCTGTGGACAGGCTGTTCCCAGGGCTTCAGGCTGACATGGTTAGTGCAGGTTGGGATACTTGAGGCAGAATCTGTTGAATGCATCGTATATGGCCTGTCTGGAAATGAAGCAGATATAGAATCAGCTCTAAAACAATGACACGTGGCAAAGAAATGATCATGTCCAGGAGTGACTGTAGTTTATGAATTTGACGATAACAACTGAGAATCTGTACTTTTTCCAGTGGAAAAAGAATTTCACCTCCATTCATGAAAATGAGGGTAAACAGGAGATGTTGAATAAACAAAATCCAAACAGAGTCAACAGGACAAGCTTTATTGTAGAATCCAATGCAAAGTGGGTTTGCACTGGATTGTACAAATGTTCAGTTTCCATGGACACCATCTCATGTCAAGTGCAAATCAAAATTTACAGGAATAATGAATGATTTTTAAAATGTGTAAATATTATTTTTAATGACCCTTTTGATGAAAATCAAGTCTTTAACCTCGTTCACATCCATATAATGTTTTTCTATAATACAAGACATATGATGAGTGAAATAATCGTCAACACCATGACTGAATGTTTCCACCTTGTACTGCAGTGAGAACCAATCCTGTAAATTTGTGGGATGGGGGGTGGGGCTAAATAAACCTGAAACCTTGTCAGTACAGAAAGAGAGAGTTAGCATTAGCACAACTGCTAACACTGTCAACCACCGCCAGTTACAAGCTAACAAACAGCATAAACAAATAAAAGATGCTAACTACGCTAACCGTTCTGATCCGTCTGCTAGTCTCTGGTTCTGGTCTCAACAGACTCCTCATCTGAGTCTGGGTCTGACTGAGGCTCAAACATGTGGCTGAGTCTCTCTGATGTTTCCTCCTCTAACCATCTTGATGCTCTCTGCTCTTTCACCTGTCCACCTGGAGCAGGCAGGTAGTGGGCGGGGCCAAAGGCCTGATCCACATTTCTTCACATCAGGAAGTAAGAGGAGATGAGCTTGAGACCCAGTTTTTATGTGTGAAAACCATGTTCAACTAAATATGAATATTTAAAGAGTTTAAAACATGTCTGGAGGGGAGGAGTCACATGACGCGGTTGGTGAAGATGGCTGCCTGAACCGAGGCTCTGACGAGCATCGTTAAAATAATCCTGTAGCTTTTGTGTATAAGAAGTTATAGAGAGGTGCTTGACACATTGAAATTACTTTGGTCGCATAGGATGGCAAAACAGCTCAAAAGCGGGGACATTAAGAAGAATTTGCGGTCTCAAAACCCACATCATGACAACAACACCACCAGGTCAGGAGCCCCAGAGGCGGCACATGTTAGCCAGGATATCGCTAACATCTTTGCTACACTGCAAAATATATCCAGTGATTTAGCCAGGCTCAAGGACTTATGCCGAACCACAGCCTCGGTTGAAGGTAAACTTTCTTCACTGATTACACGGATGGTGGAGGTGGAGGTGGAGAAAAGGGTGGAATGGCCGGAGGACACAGATAAAGAAATGAAAGCGTCATTGGAGGTTAATCCTGTTGCCACTAAAGCTGAGGTGGAAGACCTCCGTAATAAACTTGAAGATTTGGAGAACCGCAACAGATGCAATAATCTACGATTTGTGGGTGTCCCAGAAGGCAAAGAAAGCAGGGACATGACGGTATTTATGCAGAAATTACTCACTTCTGTCCTTGGCAGGGATGAAACCGTGCAACCACCAAAGATTGATCAGGCGCACAGGGCCCCAATACCACGGCCAAATCCAGGAGAGAGTCGCAACGATCTTGTTTCACTTCCTACACTGGGCTGATAGAGAGCTCATTTTACACATAGCACGGAATAAATCTGAGCTGACCTGGGAAGGTAACTGCAGCGGTCACCCTGCTGAACTCACAACCCCGGTGTCCCCCCCCCACACACACAACCCAGAGACTGTGACTGCCACACCAACCCCCTCAGCCACCTAACCCTGCACTGAACTGTTCTGAACCGTCTCTACTCATTGTCTAGCACTCACTGTATTTATTCCCGCTACCTCATCATTGTAATTCGCTACCTCATCATTGTAATTCATTGTAATTCACAGTGTAATTTATTGTACCCTACATATGCACATCTCCACTTTACTTATGCACACCCTCACTTTACATACCTGTACAGCACACACTTGCACTTTAACTGCTCTTTTGCACTTCTGGTTAGATACTAACTGCATTTCGTTGTCTTAGTACGTGTACTCTGTGCAATGACAATAAAGTTGAATCTAATCTAATCTAATCTAATCTAATCATGACATTCCCCGATTTCTCATGGACCACACAGCTGAATCCGGATAAATTCAGGGAATGTAAGAAGGCTCTGCATGAGTGCAACATGAAGTTCCAAAGATGAAGACACTGCATTACAGGCAGCACCAATGATATGAAATGGGACACAGTTCCGGTCTCCTAAGTGGGCATTGTCCCTCAACCCCTCCCTCAAGCGAAGGCAACTGTCATGAAATGTGACAGTAGCTAATATTAAAATCTATCCCTGTCTAGACTTACCTCTCTGCATCCTTTGGGAAAGAAAAGACAGATCTGTTTTTCTTGTTATTACAGCCTGTTGCTGCACAAAGCTCGGGCATTTTTAACACTAACTGATGGATTACTTGTCCCTGCCAAAAGAATATAACAATAGACGATACAACATGGATACAGTACAAATTTTTTGCCGCTGTTTTTTATCTACTAACAACATCTGATCAGCCCAGTACAAAGACATATCAATTTAATGGGCTAATAATCTGTTTTAGCAGTTGTTAAGCAATGAAACAAGTTTTATTTAAGTTTTAAAGTTCAATCCATGGTTTCATGTATAAGTAAGTCAATCCAAAAATAACTCAGTTGACAGATCTCGGAAGAGTATGGCACTGAGTCAGAGGCAGGTCTCCAATAAAGTTCATTTTCTCCTGATCTGTTGATCTGCAAAATGTCACTTTGATGTCAGAATGTTCTGAAGACGTGATGTGTGGAAACTGTTTAAAATATTTATTTCAGTAACTATGGAGCGAAAGAATTTGTGATAATTTGTGATGTTGTTCACTTCGCCCATTGGAATGAATACACTCAGACCTGCTGCTGGTCTCCTAAAGGGGCGGGAGGTGGAGAAACTCATGTGAAACAGATACAGGAAATAAACGGAAATGAAGCGTCTCAGTTTCTCTACTGTCTGTCTCTACTGCAATCCAGCCTAAGAACAGGGTCTGTCTGTGTGTGTGTGCTGCACAGTGCTCCAGCGTGTGTGAGAGAGAGCTGCCCCGCCCAGATGCAGATGAACTTCTGTGTAGGGACCAGTGAAAATATATCATAGACGAATGTTTTAACCAGAAACAGAGTTGGTGAATGTGCAAGATTTTTTCTCATCTCCAAAAACCTGTTGCAGTCAGTAATTTCTTGTTCTAATGGGAGCATTTTAGTTTCGGACCATGCATTAGTTAGCCTGGAGGTTCGGCCTTTCAGTGACAGGATTCGTATGACTAGGTGGAGATTTAATTCGTCTCTTTTACAAGAATCTGAGTTTAAGAAGGCACTAAGATTCAAATTAAGAGATATATTGAGTTGAATGAACCCACAGCTCCCTCTGCAGGGATTTCCTGGGAAGCCTATAATTTACACTGAGGGGCTTTGTCATTCAACATGCTTCTCATAAGAAAAAGAGGAATACTGCAAAACAGGCTGAAATTGAAGAAAAAAATAAGAAGCTTGAGACTAACTTAGAAGGGAACTTTAATTTTGAAGATCTTAGGGCTCTAAATCAACTGAAGTATGATTATAACTGATTCCTGTCGAAGAAAGTAGAGTTCTTGCTCTTCAGAATGGGACAAAGATATTACGAATCGGGGGATAAAGCGAGTAAACTATTGGCAAACTCCTTAAAACAGAAAGAACTATCATCTATTATTTTGGCCATCAGATCAGAGGAGGGAGAACTAAAAGTCAAATCTGTAGTTATTAATAATGGGTTTAGAGTTTTATGTGAAATTAAATACAGCAGACTCTCAACACGATGAAGAGTGTATAGAAACATTTTTCCAAGGATTGGATCTTCCCAGATTATCTGAATCACAAAAGACAGACCTTGACCACCCGATAACCAGTGAAGAAATTATTAATGTAATTAAAGGACTACCAAATGGAAAAGCCCCAGGACCAGATGGCTTTACAGCTGATGGAACTAACACCTTTGCTACTCAGTATGTACAATGAGGCATTTGAAAGGGGTAGCTACAAGCTACTTTATCAAAAGCTTTAATTACACTTAGTCTTAAATATGACAACGACGCATGTGACTGTAAGAACTATCATCCGATTTCCGTTATACCATTAAACACCAAAATTTTGTCTAAAGTCCTCGCAAATAGGCGCGGGAAGGTAATGATGTGGTAAGGTAATCAGGTGGGTTCTGACAAAAGTAGGCACTTTATTAATATTATGTGGACAGTCTCAAATTCCAATTCACCAATGCTGTTTGATAGGGTGGAATGGAGATTTTTGTTTAGGACTTTAGAAATGTTTTGCCTGGAAAAAGTTTTATTAAGTTTATTACATAATCGACCAGAAGCAACAGTACACACTCATGGGTACATATCGTCATATTTTGAATTGGGGAGACGCACACGTCAGGGTTCCCCGCTTAGCCCTCTGTTATTTTGTTTGGTGATGGAACCTCTGGGGGTGATGATAACTTTCCGGGAGTGACGCGTAATGGAAGCATCCATAAATTGTTGACGTATGCGAACAATATTCTTTTATCAATTTAGGACCCTGTGGTATCAATACCCTCATTGCTGAAGACTTTTTTTTTTTTTTTAAAGTTCTCAGGATATATGGTTGGGATATATCGGAAGCCCTACCTTTGACAAAGCACTGTCCAACTGTAATCTTCCAGGCAGGATGATTTAGATGGCCCAAGCAGGGTTCTTGTCTTTATGGGAAAAAGTTAATGTAATCAAAATGATTTGCATCCCTAGGATTAATTACCTACTTTCCTCCCTCCCATAGAAATTCCAGACAGTTATTTTAAGAGATTCGATAGTGCATTTAAAGAATTCCTCTGGAATGGAAAGCGACCA